TCTTTGGATAAATTATTGTGTTATCTGGAATATAATTATTATAATTTAACTTTATATAAAATTATTATAATGTAACATATGTTATATTACAAAATATTACTTTTACGAGTGGGAAATTACAGCTAATATGTATTTAATATGTAACATTTACGTTAGTTACATAGCAGTTATGTTATATAGCAGCTATATAAATAAATGTCATTATATTATAATAAATAAGTAATTATATTATAAAAGAAATTATATTATAATAAATGTAATTATATATCAATATACATTAGTATATATCAATAATATACACATTAGACCTCTTTCTCTCTCTCTCTCTCTCTCTCTCTCTCTCTCTCTCTCTCCCTCTCTCTCCCTTCCCTCTATAAAAGTATTCTTTCTGAATTTATCAGCCAAATTTATATTTTCTCTTGGTCGTTTAATTGAGCTGAATGACATTGTAGGGAATAATATAACCTACATACATGTTACATATGTCATCAAACCTGACACACAACCTAACATCATGGATCATGGTATAGCGCTCGTGCACGTGTATATATATATTTAGCGGGAAAGAAATTCCTGCTCATGCGTCTTGGATGCAGGTAGATATATAATAACTATTTGGAAACCACTGCTGAGGCGTCTCGGATCGATAAGTATGTGATGAGTATATTTTTTATATGTATAAAAAATACTTTATTTCCTTTTTGGTAACAGACAGTATTACAGTATTAAAGGCAGACAAAAGAGAGTGTGTTCGGTGAGGAAGATTCGGTGAGGAAGAACTTAGCTTACTTACTATCTAGATAGGAAACATCTTTGGCTAGAGCGCATGTGCGCGGTATAAAGTTACTAGAGAGATAGATTACTTAATATCTAGATAGGAATCATCTTTGGCTAGTGCGCATGTGCGCGGTATAAAGTTACTAGAGAGGTGCCATATTACTCCCCCCTTAGCAACTTTGCCTAAGTTGCGAATGTGACCTTTTTGGCTGGAGGATAGGTCTTCGTAGGTTGCTGTGCTGTGGCGGGTATGTCCTCGGTGCACGTAGCGTCTCCCGGGGTATTATCTCTTGGTAGGCCGGCTTCAGTCTTTCCGTTGTGACGTGGTCTTTTTGAGCCCGTCACAAGGGCGGATGCGCCCGGCCGGGAGGCGTCTGAGAGCGCTTTAATTTTGTGTTTCGTGCGGGTGAGCAGCGACCTTTTCGCTAGCTCACCCGTACTCTGTATCGAGATCGAGGTGGTGGGCCGGGAGAACGGCCATTGTTTTAGGAAGAAGAGGACCCAGGCGAACAACGGAGGGACGACCTCGGAGGGGGAGGAGCGGAGACTGAGCGACCGGCCCGGTGAGTATAAAACACACAGTATCGAGTGAATAAGAGAGGAGGTACTGCCAAGGAAATCATTACAGCCTCGAGTAGACGATCGGGAGCGGCCCGGAGCAGGCAGGGGAAGGCGCCGGCATCTCTACACGAGGATGGACACCCCTAAGGGGCCCCGCCACCACACGTCGAGGAGAAAGCGGAGATCCCTCGGGCCTGATCACCCCGGAAAGGTCTCCCCCAGCGAAGCAAGACTAACGAGAATACCCACCCAGCCGTACGAGGTGTGAGCGGGGCCGCCAGGATCGGGTCTACGGAAAGCGTTACCTAGGACTACAATTCGAATTTGGCGGCGGAAGTCCGCGACCAGCCGCGACACACAGGAATCGATACGAGGATCGATTCTGGGTCCGGCGCGGGGCGCAACGCTGCCGCGAAACCTGGCAACCGGGCCGGGTGGCGCGCATTGTCTTCCCCCTCCCCACCAGCGTACCTTCCGAGGTCCCGCCGGCCCGAAAGGAAATGACTGTTCGGCAAGCCAGTGTCCTGCGAACACGTGGAAGGACGACGACCCACAACGACCACCTGAGACGGCGAATTATTGTAAGGCCACCTCCTCGATCGTCCGGTAAGCGCGGATTCGGCGGAGATCCGTGAGTTGTTAGAGATGTGTAACGATACCGAGCAATTATGCTATAAATAATTTAGTACCGAGAATTAGTTGAGAGACTCACGGGACTCGCGTCGATTTCCACGTCATTAAGTATTGCGTAAATCTTTGCCTTCTTTGCCTCTCCGAGGGGCACCGAAACGAGTCGACAGTCATATCGTAATATATTGTAATTGTAGCATTGTATCGAGTCATTGATTAGCAATCCTTGAGAATAAGTTACGCTGAATTAGTGTATGGTCTATTCGATTCCGAGCCGGATACAAAGGGAGGAAAGTAATGATAACTAGAGATTTCGATAAAACCCAGCGATCTCCCTACGGCCCGATAATAATATTATAGTTACTTTTATTCATTCTATCTATATACTACCAACTGAAAATATATTCTTCTTATTTTATCTTATTTCTGAGTACAATTAATATCGAGATTTCCTCTCTCTCTCCGAGACGTCGATTCCGAATCTCCTTACGGAAAGAACCACGACACTCTACCCCCTTGTTGATACCGAGCTACCGAGGCCGAGCCATCGTGTCCGCTGATTATTTGCCGAGATATTGTTGAGTGGTGCGGCCTGACCGCACCTGGCGCCCAAAAGATACGATACCGAGTACATAGTGATACCGAGCAAGTATTGAGAGAACGGAGAGCGGCACGACGAGGTTGCGCAGCAGTCTCTCTCGCACTCTCTCTCTCGTTTGACGAGAGAGGACGGAGAGACGGTCGCACCGTGAAAATGGTTACCTCCTCTCCTTTGATTTTGAGCTTAAAAACTCGATCGGATATCCTTTTGATAATCTCGTACGGGCCTTTGTAGGGGCAGTCGAGAGGCTTTTTGACGGCGTCCACTCGAACGAATACATGGGAATAGCTGAAGAGGTCTTTATAACTGAATACCCTGGGCCTGATGTAGTGGGCTGGCGGTGTTGGTCGTATTTTACGCATAAATTTGCGTAACTTTTCGATGAATATCTGAGGGTCTTCTGGTGGGTCTTCGTCTATGAAGAATTCTCTGGGTAGACGGATTAGAGTTCCATAAACCAATTCTGCTGCACTGGTCTTCAAGTCCTCTTTGACGCTGGCTCGTAGTCCCAACAGGACCGTGGGGAGGATGTCTACCCGCTCGGTGGATGCATGGCAACGGATGGCGGATTTAAGAGAGCGGTGAAACCGTTCTACCATCCCATTGGAGGACGGATGGTAGGCTGTAGTCCTGGTCCTGTGTGCGCCTATGAGCTGAATGAAGGCCTGAAACAATCTAGATTCAAACTGAGAACCGCGGTCCGTGGTTACGGTTGCTGGAGCGCCGAAACGAGAGATCCACGTTGCATGAAATGCGTCCGCTATTGTATCTGCGCTGATGTCCTTGATCGGAATGGCTTCTGGCCATCTGGTAAATCTATCTATTGCAGTTAGGCAGTACTGGTACCCGCGGGACGGCGGCAGAGGACCGACGATGTCGAGATAAACCTGGTGGAATCTGTTATCCGGGACTCGAATGTGTTCTGGCAGGTTTTTGTGATGTCTCTGGATCTTTGCACGTTGGCATGCTAAACAGGTCTTGACCCACTCTGCGGCGTCCTTATTTAGACCTGGCCAAACAAATCGGCGTGCGATTAGATCTCGGGTAGCTCGGACTCCTGGATGCGATAGGCAATGGACTGTGTCGAATATTCTGCGGCGTAGGATGCGAGGTATGTATGGGCGAATCTCTTTGGTGGAAACGTCACAGAATATTGTGTGTTCTTAGTTGTCGAGGCGTAATTTACGGAGTTGCAAATTCGTCGTTGATGATTTTACTAGTTCTTGCAGCTCTTCATCCTTTAGTTGCTCGAGTGCAATGTCCTCAGTGGAGATAATTGTAAATAAAAATTGTAGACATGTGTATTTCTTGGATTCGAGATAGTGCGTCTGCGACTGTGTTTTGCGTTCCAGGAAGGTGAACCAGGTGAGTAGTGAATTGTGAGATATAATCCAGTTGGCGCAGCTGTCTAGGAGATGCTCGGCCTGACTTCTGGTCGAAGGCATATATTAACGGCTTGTGGTCCGTTGCTACTGTACATTCACGACCTTCTAAAATGCCGGAAATATTTTAGGGCTTTATAGACCGCTAGGAGCTCACGGTCGTAGGTGCTATACTTTCTTTGTGTCTCGGTTAGTTTTTGTGAGAAAAAACTTAAGGGTACGTACACGTCCCCTTGGAGTTGTTGCAGTGCGGCATCGATGGTTGTGTCTGAGGCATCTGTTTGCAACACCAAAGATGCTCCTTCTTTTGGGTGTGCCAGGAGAGTAGCTTCTTCTAGTTGTCTTTTGCTTTGTTCAAATGCTTCCCGCGTCTCCGGTGTCTAAACTATTGTTCGGTTGTCTTGCTTGGTTGCTCCGGTTGTGAGTTTGTGTAGGGGTGCTTGAATTAATGCTGCTCCTTTAAGTAGGCGTCGGTAAAAGTTGATAAAACCAAAGAATCTGCGTAGTTCCTTGACGGTATTTAGTATGGGATAGTCCCTAATTGCAGCTCTTGGAGGGGGGCGATACCCTCCTGACTAATGGTATATCCCAGGTAACGGGCCTTCTCGGCTCCGAAGGTACACTTTTCCACATTGATGGATAGGCCGTGTTGCTGTACCGTGACAGGATTTCACGCACGTGTGTTGCGTGTTGCTCTGGTGTTGTAGATGCGATCAAAATGTCGTCAATGTAGCAGAACGCATATTCCACCCCTCGGAGGACCGTATCCATCAGGCGCTGAAACGTCTGCGCAGCGTTCCAGAGACCGAAGGTCATCTTGGTGAACTGGAACAAACCGAAAGGAGTGATTACAGCGGTCTTGGGTCTGTCCTCTGGAGCCACTGGAATTTGGTGGAATGCTTTGTTGAGGTCAAGCGTAGTAAAAATCTTGCATCCATATAAACGGTGCGTAAAATCATGTAAATGAGGGACAGGATATCTGTCAGGTATCGTGACTTTGTTTAATCGACGATAATCGCCACATGGTCTCCATGTTCCATTGAATTTCTTCACCATATGCAGCGGAGAGGCCCATGGGCTAGATGGCTCGCAAATACCCTGCTGGATGAGGTTTTGGAATTCGATTCCTCTTCCTCTGCCTTATAACGGGTTGGTAAAAGGCGCCTAGCTCGCTCTGCTACAGGGTGTCCGTTGGTGATTATATAATGTTGCACGCCGTGCGTGGGTTCCTGGCTTTTGATTGGACGTGTTACTTCGTCGAATTCCAGTAGAATTTTCCTGTAACAGTTATCGTAGCTGATTTTTGTTAAACTTGGAGTGTTGCATGTTGTGATTGCACCTAGCACGTGCAATTTTGTTTCTGTATCGATTAGGCGGCGGTTGTGGAGATCGACAAGCAGTTTAAAATGCTTTATAAAGTCGGCACCCAATATCGGTTGTTGGACGTCAGCTACAATGAATTGCCAAACGAAATCTCTGCGTAGTTCAAGGTTGAGTTTCATTTTGAGCTCTCCATAAGTGGGAATGATAGTGCCGTTGGCTGCGTAAATTGTAAACCTAGCACGGGTAGGTTGTTTGCCTTTCATGAGTTTTGGTAGAACTGAAACGTCTGCACCGGTGTCCACTAAGAACTTCATCCTTGAGTATTGATCCATGACTGTGAGGCAGTTTGACGTCTCATTGATCTCCGTAGTCGCCCCCATGTACGAAGATTTTGTTAGTTTTCCTGCGGCTTAGCTCCTTGAGTCCACGTACAAGGGTTCTGGCACTTCCTTGCGCTGGCACCAAATCTATTATGATAGTAACAGAACTCAGGCTTATTTGAATGCGTAGGTGCAGGTGTCCATGCTCTAGGTTGGTTCTTCTTCCTCTGCTACGGGAGCGACGGAATCGTTCGTTGCGATCTAGTTGTTTCTGCATTTTTGAGATCTGTAATGTGAGTGCGTTAAGTGACTCTTCTAATGCAGACAGCGTACCTGAGATAGTCTGTGTGTCTGAACTCTTTGCAGGCACGATTTGGGTTGTTGCCATCATTGGTCTCATCGCGTCTAGTGCCTTATCAGCCATCTCTGCTAACCGCTGGAGATCTGATGTGTCGGAAATTGCAAGTATTGCTCGAGCAGCTTCTGGTAACTGCTCAAAGAGCAGAGAGCGGATGATGGCGTCTCCACACTGGTCTCCTGCGAGGGCTCGTAAACGATGTAGATAAGCCGTCGGTTTCTCATCACGCATCTCGTGGCCACGGAGTAGGTGTCGGAGGCGTGCTTCATCTCCTTCGTCATAGGCGAACATAATGCGCCGTTTGATGCTCTCATACTTATTTTAAGCGGGCGGATTTATGACGAGATCGGACACGCTACGCAGAGCTTTGCCGGACAATTGTGTGGCAACGTACCTGTACTTTGTGGTATCAGACGTTATATTGTAGTTAGCAAAAACAAGATCTATCTGGGCGAACCATAGCCGTGGATCGGCTTGATAAAATGGCGGCAGTTCGATATGGCGGGAAGATACCGCTGAAACTCCGCCGTTAAGTTCGCGTCCTTGGGGTGTCTGGTTGCCAACAAGTTGATTCTGTGTTGTGCCAGCGCCCGGGGCGTCTGTTCCTCGTGTAGGCGATCCGTCTACAGGCATCCTTTATTACGCGGGATCACGTCGGGGTCACCAATGTAGCGCTCGTGCACATGTATATATGTATTTAGCAGGAAAGAGATTCCTGCTCATGCGTCTTGGATGCAAGTAGATATATAATAACTATTTGGAAACCACTGCTGAGGCGTCTCGGATCGATAAGTATGTGATAAGTATATTTTTTATATGTATAAAAAATACTTTATTTCTTCTTTGGTAACAAACAGTATCACAGTATTAAAGACAGACAAAAGAGAGTGTGTTCGGTGAGGAAGATTCGGTGAGGAAGAACTTAGCTTACTTACTATCTAGATAGGAATCATCTTTGGCTAGTGCGCATGTGCGCGGTATAAAGTTACTAGAGAGGTGCCATAATGGAGCGACATTAATACAATCTAGCGTTGACTGCTCGAACAGTACATTTTCGCACACATGCGCATTAAGAAGGTCGACGACGATGACCAAAATTTTCAATTTTATTATAAAATCAAACTTTACATCGTAATATCTCTGTATATATAATACGTAGAGCAAAAGTAAAGACATTGTTCTTATACAATTTAAACCCAAGCTATCGATTAAGTCTATCAAGAATACGATCAGTTCAATCCTTCTATGAGATCTGATAATATAAGGTGCTGTCAAAAGTCCGACTCGCGTAAAGATACACGGAAGTACCTCGCTACGATTTTTGTGATGACTTGTCGCGAGACACTACCGTGTCTCTTGATGTTAGTTGTAATTACTCACTCATAGATGTAACATTTTTAATATAACATATATTACATTGTAGTTATATTGTCATTATATCCCAAGATAGCACTGACTTATCAACACATCAATGTGCTATTTGGTATATAATTACAATATAACTACAATGTAATATATGTTATATTAAAAATGTTACATCTATGAGTGGGAAATTACAACTAACATGAATGTTACATGTAACGTACACGTTATATTACCTGTTACATTCCGTTTTATTATAGCAATGTAACAGTTATATATCGGTGTTTGCTGGGATATGTCGAATTAAATAGAGCCTAACCATATGAACGAAAACCAGCTGTTTGACAGGTATCGAAAAAAAAATTAATATTTGCTTTCACATATTAAATTATGCCAAAATGAGAGTCTTCGGTATATTTTCACATCACGCCAATTATTTTAAACACAAAAACACTGCACTAAAATGAAAATAACGCTGTACGTTGCAAGAATCTTTTGGGCTGTCATTTCTCGCTTAAAAAAAGAGACAAAACTATTGTACATTTCTCGCTTAGAGAAAGAGACAGAACTATAATCCGCCTGATGTCGCTACCATCGAAATTGGGAGTTCTACGGCGAGTATGCAGGAGCCTTAAAAAAAATTGTTTTACACTTGAGAAAACAAAATCACGAAAGCCTGAACTAGCCAAAGAAATTTTAAGATTAAAAATGGGATCTACTCCAACAGAATTATTAAATTTAGAAAAAAAAGATAAGGTATAATGTCGCAGAGCAAAGAAGATAGCAAAAAAGTTAAAGTATCGTAAATATTTTCTAGATCGAGTCTTATATACTGGTCAAAAAAATTATCGCAACACGCATTTAATATCAAAATTTCGCGTAAATTCAAATAAGCGTATCTCCGCGAAAAATTATCGTATTTGAAAAATTTTTTGTTTTAAAGGGTGAAGTCTCTACTTTAAGAAACTTTCGTTTGATTTTGATTTCATTCTTTCTTCTTCTCTCCACCCCTTTAAAAATTAGTGTTTTTTTTCAAAAAATTGCAAAATTTGACGAACTCTACGGGGTAAAATAAATTTTTTCGCAAATCTTATCCAAATTTTTGTAAAATATGGACTTTTTCCTACAAATTAAAAAAAAAGCAAAGTTCGTACGATTTTTGGCAGAAATACGGTATATCAAAGTTATCTATGCATTTTTGTGTAATTATCACCAGCATTATCGATACCCGATGCGCACCAACGATGGTTGCGCGATAAATTGCCAATGAAGATCTCCTTTATAGAACCAGTAATCAAACAATTAGAAGACGTTCACATTATGAACACAAGCATGCGCTTCGCGCGCGCTTAACAAACTTTTACTCCGCGAGTGTACATAATTTTAATCCGTCGAATTTGAATTATGTACATAATATTATGTACTCTAATTCCCGAATTTCTGTTATACATATCATAATATTAATTTGCTGAATTTCTATTATGAACATCATTTTAATTCGCCGTATTTCTTTTATTATATGTAAATAATATTAATTTTTAATTTTCCATTATGTTCATAATTTTAATTCTTGAATTTTTTTATGCACATAATTTTAATTCGCGTATTTCTATTATGTAAATAACTGAAATTGTACCTAATAGAAATTCGGCCAGTTGAATTTATGTACACGATAGAAATTTGACGAATTGAAATTATAACGCATAATAGAAATTCTAGAATACTTACATGTATTGTGCATAATAGAAATTTGGTAAATCAAAATTTAAAACATAATAAAAATTCAAAAATTAGGTACACAATGAAAATTCAAGAATAAAATTATGTATATCATAGAATTAGCGAATTAAAATTATATACATAATAGAAATTGGACAAATTAAAATAAGGGAAATAGAAATTCGGCAAATCGAAATTAAGTGTATATATAATGGAAACTTAAATTAAAATTATGTGCATAATATAAGTTCGGCGAATCAAAATGAAGTACATAATAGAAATTCGGCGAATCAAAATTATATACATATTGTAAATTTAAGCATTAAAATTTTAATTTGCCGAATTTCTATTATGTAAATAATTTTAATTTGTTGTGTTTCTATTATGTACATAATTTTAATTCTTAAATTTCCATTATGTACATAATCTAAATTAACTGAATTTCTATATATACATATATAATTTTAACGAAATTAAAAGAAATAAATATTGTAAGCCAACTAAACGAGCAAAATTACATAAGATATAAAGATTTATTAATAATTAAATTCTCATTCCATTAGAGAAACAATATACAACGTAAACGTTTCGACTGCACTAGTCTTCTTCAATACATAAAACTCAAATATTAAAATACAAAATTAATGATTCTTCGCTGATGAACAATGGATAAGTAAGACGATTGGTCTGAGATTCCAAGTTTTGCGACATTTAATCATGCTGTGGAGATTTTACGCGAATTAATTAATATCAGAGAAAATTGAAAAATCTTTCAACTTACATTATCGTTTTAACAAGTTCTTCTTCTCGAAATTTCAAGTGTGTGTTGCGAAGTCTAAATAACAAATGTCAAGGTAGAGAGCGTGATGTATATATTTATTACCAATGTTTTTCTAAACTATGATTCAGCTAAGTTTTCAAATATGTCAAAATAACTACTGTCGAGCAATTCAGTGTCTTTGTTTAAATTAATTCCATTTTTCTATTCTTTAATATGGATTATTTCAGATATTAGCCTTTTATGGTAATTCTTTTCATGATCCATAATCTTAGTGTTATCCCAGTCAAATGTATGCTGTTCATTTAGAATGTGTTCCGTGACAACCGAATGCTTAGCAAAGTCTAATTTAATATTATTTTTATGTTTTTAAGTCTCGTTCCTAACTGTCTTTTTGTCTGTCCGACATATGTAGCGTCACAATCATTGCACTTCAATTTATAAATAATATTAGAATTCTTGGGACAATCGTTTCTGTCGAATTTTGAACCCTTATGAAGTCATTCAATTTTTTAATGCAACGATATCCCACCAATATGTCAGGTCTTTTTATTGCTGAAGCGACTTTATCAGAAATTGATTCTATATGGTATGACAAAATATTTAATGTTTGTATTTATGGTATTGGTATCTATTATATTGTTGGTATTAGACTTGCTAAATTTCTTCGTTGAAAGATGTTTCAATCTGCGTTTTATTTTTATGAAAATTAAGTCAAGAGAATAACTATTGGATAGCAAAATATTAATAGCTTTCTCTATATTTTTTTTGTGAAATTGAGGATGTGATAGCAATATAGCTCTATCTACCAAGCTATAAATTGTTCATAATTTATGACAAGTCGGATGATTTGAAAAAAATGAGAGTAATCTACCTGAGAATGTCTTTTAGTTGGTCTACAATATTTATTTCTTTTAATTTCGTTAATTTATACGAGCCTTTCATCAATTAATTTTACATAAGTTTAATTCAGCCAATTTCTATTTCCATTTCTAACTAACAAAAAAAAACTATAGTCGAAACTATTCAATCACAAAATTAATAAACACTTATTTATCAGACTTTTAACTATTAAATACGTCAAATCCTTTAATATACATTATTATCACTACACTAACTCCTCAATACAACTATCAAAATATATAATGACAGCCGCTCACGAAGTAAACGCTATGCCGGAACTAATCGGCATCGCGGATTAAAGAACAACAATTTTTCGATACATTCGAGAATAAATAACATGCCTTTTTTAGAAAGGAAAAAAGGATTATAATAGAATATAATAAGTAGATTATTTTATTATTACGTTACGCATTGTTTATGTTTTTAATTTTATTACGTATGTGCGTTTTTGTTATTAAACTAGATTTTCGAATATATGTAATTTTATTTTTATCTTATATTATTTTTATTTTTATCCGATTATTATATATATATATATATATATATATATATATAGAGAGAGAGAGAGAGAGAGAGAGAGAGAGAGAGGGTAACGTACCTATATGGACAAAAGAGATCGACGCTTATGGGAAGTCAATAATAATAATGCTCTAATGCATTTGTTTACACTTTTTATTATATATAAACGAACTCTTTTTGATACATAATTGTAAAGATATGTTGTTAACTCTTATGTGTAAGGAATTGCTCGTCTAATAATTCCTTTATCTCAGTATGACTATATTAAAATTGTACTATGTAATAATTCACTATTATTCTCGATATTTCTCATAAACTATTTTAAGCCTCAAATAAATATTACAAATATTATTATTACTATTATTATTATTATTATTATTAACATTATTATTATTATTATTATTGCTTTAACTTAAACACTTGACTTAAAGGCACATGTTACAGCTAGCCTTAGGATAAAGATTTTTTTTAAATATCCTAATAATGTTCTAATCGCATCGCCCTTTTCTATAGAATCAAAATTGTATTACCGATTTTATTATTCTTTAATTTTACTATTCTTTGAATTAAGAAATGTTAATTGTAAATGATTTATATACAACGGACGATGAAAAGACCATGCGATTTACAGGATATTTGTGTGCCTACAATGAAAAAATATAACATCCCTTTTGAGTATTAATTGTAAGTAACAACCCAATATTATGTATTCCTTTCTTTGAACATAAAATGTAATTCTATAAAATTTTCGCAATAATATTTTATTTCCGGTATAGGAAATATTCATAAAATTGTAATAATTATAATAAATAATAAAGTCTACATCTAAACGAGTTGTGTAGAAACTTAAAATCTTAATAGTTTCTAATTGCACGAATCCATTTCTTTTTTTGGTTTCGCCAGAAGATATCAACAATGAATAATCTAGTTTTATAATTAGTTTTTTTGTCCTTCGTACATTTCTGTTTTTTCTTACATCATAATAATACATGATAAAATACGCATAAGCAAAGACAAAATATCCTTTTTGCAAATCTTTAATTAGCATCAATTTTGCACTCTTTCGTATTTCATTGGTAACGATCTCTTTATAAAACACTCGAGATCTTATGATAATAATACAACACTAAATATCACTCATAAGCATATATTATGATAATCATATAATGTTAAATATAAAAGTACAGAGGAATTCTGTACAGCAAAATTCTTTTTTCTGACATACACTAAACAACACAAATTTACTACAAAATCCATATAAGATTGCACGTAAAATAACACAATACAGCTTCTGCTAATACACATTTTGATATTTAAGGAACTAATATACCAGCAAAAATCCATCATATAGTAGTTTAGTGCATTATTATTAAATATGTAGCGATGTTTACAATGCGATATCAGATATCTTATCGATATATATTAATACTGAAAGTTGACATTCAAATTAAATTTTATACATAGATCATAAGATCTAAGTATTCATGCCATCTTAATAAAACATTCAACATTCATTGATTCGATCGATGAGAAATTATCGTAGTCACACAATTTCGCAACTGATATTATGTATAAGTTTTATTTTTACTATTAGTTAGTAAATTGGCAATATATCGTTCAAGATTTTAATTACTTTGTACTTCGCTGTTCCGTCTCCTATTGCGGCTTCGACCTACAAAATAATTGATATTGCAATTTTATTATATGAATAAATAAACAGCAGTTGATAGTTGTCTTAAATATATTTGATAAAGTTTGTTTTTTATCTGTTTGATATAAATAAACATATGTAATTGTAATTTTAAATATTCCCTATAAGCGCATATTATTTAATATTTAAGCAATATTCTAGGCGTATTTTTAGAATATTAAATATTCTAAAAATACGCCTAGAATATTAAATAATATCATGCGCTTATAGGGTTATAGTTTCAAAACAAAAAAAATTATATTAATTAATCTTTTGTTTTAATAAATAATTACAATTACATATGTTTATTTATATCAAACAGATAAATATATATATATATATATATATATATATATATATATCGGCCAAACGAGCAACGCGATGTTATTACGAAAATTAAGAAACTTAGGAATATTCGTATCTTGTGGTTGAGATCTCAAAATTCCTCTTGTTCCTCTTTTAACCCTGCTAAATTCCTAACCTTCCCGATAAATCCCCTGGATAAATCGATTCCCGATTTCGAATAACCTTCCCGATTCAACCGACTTTAGGACCAATATTTTTTTCGCCTATTTCTTTGCAGAGGGGTTAAAAGAGGAACAAGGAGAATTTTGAAATCTCAAATACAAGATACGAATTCCTAAGTTTCTTAATTTTCGCAATAACATTGCGTTGCTCGCTTAGCCGATATATATATATATATATATATATATATATGTATATATATATATATATATATATTAGTTATAAATTTATTTATTTTTGATGTGTTTTCCGCACACAAGTAGCTCAAAATCGAATACATTCTTACTGTAATTTCCTTTTGGAATTGGTAACAAATATATATTCAATACTTTCAAATTTTTTCATTATAGCCAATACAAACCATCATATATTTTAAATATACTTGCGCATGACAATAGAAAACTCCAAAATCCTCAGTTATTTTTCCTCTACTTATGTTTTCCTCATATTATTATATCCAACTATTGCACACACAAAGAAATTTCAGAATACTATTATAAATTTTCACTACCTCTGCGTATTTGATTAAGGCATGCCAGCATTCTGATCATAAAAACTGCAGGTACAGTTATTGTATCTTTGGTTTCTTCCAACATAACTGCATTTCTCTGTTTCAACTGAAAAACAAAGTAAAGCAAAGTAAAACCTCTTCCATCTTTTCACAAGAAAAGTTACACATACATACTTCTTTACCCATACAGCACAAAATATTATGAATGTTTTCAAAAAATATTTCTAAATATTTCTATAAAATATTGCATAAAAACGTTTTAAAATGATTTTAGGAATATTTTAAAATAATTTGATAAATTTTGTAGTAACATTTTTTAGAATATTTTAAAAAACTTAAAAATATTTTTAAAAATGTTCTTTATCGTTCAGATAATATTTTCTTAAATATTTAATACATATTTTTGAAATATTAGTTTAAATCTATATTCAAAAATATTTCTGAAAATATTTCTTAAACATGAAAGAGCGGACATCAAAAGATTTTAAAAATATTTTCGAGAATTATTTTATCTTTTAAAAAATATTTTTAAAAGATTTTTAAAATATTTTGTGCTGTATGGGTATTTAATAGTATATTAGCTAACAAGTGCGGGGGATCGTAAAGTGGCCGAGAGTGCGGAAGTTTGGCGCACGAGGCGAAGCCGAGTGTAACAATCCGCACGATCAGCCGATTTATGACCCGCACATGTTGACTACAATATTTTGTGTGACCGGTGCGTGGAAAGAAAGCCCTTTCTAAAATCCCATCATGTGCGTAAAGAGCGAATTTTCGCGCGCCGGTTGCACAAAATATATTTATATTACTACTTACATCTTCCGCAAACTTCTCGTCAAAATCCGGCTCTTCACTGATTGGCGCCCACAGTTTCACATCGTAATCAATGCCAGAAGTGGCTAACAATGGGAGATATGGATGTGGTTGCAGGCAATTTACCACATGTTGATCCGCTTCCAGTAGCATACATAGTTTCGCGGTGTCCCTCTCCCACACGAAGACGTGACCGCAGTCGCTACCCGACATGACGAAATCGTCGCCCCAAAAATTTGCTTCCTTAATCATAGTCCTAAAGAAACTAGAGTCAAAAGTGGAGGAAAGGCGAACGATCAGAGATAATTTGGCGGCATTAATATTATACAGTCCGCCCAGTCCGTTCGGAGGCTTTTTCGGAACTACATGGGTCAGTAATTTGGCGTCCGATCCGTCAGACATTACATATATTGGTACATTTCGATTAAACAAAGTCAAAGTATTATCATTTAAGTTATTTAAGTTCAAAGTAGCAACATTCAAAACTTACCAAAAGACTTGGTGTTGTATATATCGACTGTATGGATTATTAATATAATCCAAATGATAAAAACATTCCGTGCTTTTTTCAGTTTATTTTGTGACTTAATTATTTTAAAGTTCTGTTAATCTAATGACAATGACTAATAGTCTTTAATTTTAGAGCTTCTATTTTTTTACTGCAGTCATATTAAACTATGATGTTAGAAACGAGAAATCATATGAATTCTTTATTTGTAAAATATATCGAAATAAATTAGTTATTTTGTTACCACTCGTGTGTATTCGATAATATAGATTAATAGAATATACTGAAAATTTCTGTTTTCTTATTTTGCATTAAATGCAGGATCGAAAAGTAACGTGTTACTTGTAATACTGTTATCATTACAATTAATGTTTTTGGAGTAACCGTAGATATTTTTTAATAAAGTGACACTGTGTAGAAAAAATATGTAATATGCAACTAGCATTTTTTCTTAAAAAATTTTTTTTTTACCAATTAATTCCTCTCATTGTTTTATGCATAAAAATATTTAAGTAAGATAATAAAAAAACGAATATTTTACGAAATACTTTGTAATTTATGTAAAATTATGTCACATAAAGTACAAAATATTTTGTAAATTATTCACTTCTTGGTCATCCAATCTTTATAACTGTTTATGCTAAAAATATTACAATAAGGAATTGATATAAAAAATTATAATGATTTTAACATATATATTTTGTATGTATATCGGCTATACGCCTACCGTGATGTTTTTTGCGTTAACGAAAATTAATTTTTCGTTGATTAGGAATAGTATTCTTTGGATCTCTCTAATTCCTGTGTTACCCCATTTTAATCCCCCTCTGTAAAACTATAGGCAAGAAAAATATCGTTCCGAAAGTCGGCTGAATCGGGAATCAAATCCGAGACCTTTCGCTTGCCGGGCGACTGCTCTTCTAACTGAGCTATTCACACACTTGCCAAACGATACCTCTCTCTGCCTTTTAAAATTAGCGCCGTATTTTCGGCCTAGGCGTAAACAAACAATTGACTTTCGGAACGATATTTTTCTTGCCTATAATTTTACAGGGGGGATTAAAATGGAGTAACACAGGAATTAGAGATCCAAACTAAGGATATTATTCCTAATCAACAAAATAGTATATTGTGTATCAAGTGCGGAAAGTTGACAATTGGTCAATCCGCACTTGATACACACGATATTTTGTATTACAAGGCAAAGCAGGCAAAGTGGCTTTGTGCGCGTTTTCTGTGCGCGAGGTGGCCGATCGCACGCCGCCATCTTGCGACGGCACGGTGCGGGAATAGCCGCGTTCAAAGTCATTGCCCACGACTTCAGCCGTGGACAATGACTTTAAACACGGCTCAGCTAGGCAATGTCTTTGAATGCGGCTTATTCACTCACCGCGTCGCCGCTAGATGGCGGCGTGGGAAATCGGCCGCTTTCCGCACAAACACGCACACAAAATGCCACTTTTGCTGCACGTGTAATACAAAATTAATTTTTGGTTACGCAAAAAGCATCGCGGTAGGCTCTACAGCCGATATACATACAAAATATATATGTTGTATTTATTTGGACAGCCGAATTATATATTCTTAAGATTATAATGATTTCATTTAAAAAAATAAAGTTAACCTTGAAATAATCCTTTTTGACCTTTAGATCAAGATTAAGATCATCAAGTGGCCCACTTTGAATCCTATTTTACTTTTGTATTTAATATTTTTTCTATATCTGACTATTGTAAGTTACTTTTTCCTCATCCTATATACATTTCCAGTAATAATAAATTTTCTAACAATTGATCAAAATTCACAGCATCAAAATATATATTAATTCACAGATTTAAAAAATTCTTATTATAGTCTTCTTATATTTTACTAATGTATACTATCGAATGCGGATAATGACATGTAGAATACTAATATATTTTTTGCAACGCCTGTTGCGAAAGTTCGATTTTCGATTGCTGTTTAGCGTGCGGAAAATGATTTATTTCTCAACGATTCAATGTATGTCTTACTTTACACTAGTGCGAGAATAGTATATTAGCTAACAAGTGCGGGGGATCGTAAATCGGCCGAGAGTGCGGAAATTTGGCGCACGAGGCAAAGCCGAGTGTGACAATCCGTAGCCACAAAATATCGTAGCCAATATGTGCAGGTCATAAATTGGCCAAGAGTGCAGAAGTTTGGCACACGAGGCGAAGCCGAGTGTGACAATCTGCACTCTCGGCCGATTTACGATCTCCCGCACTTGTTAGCTAATATACTATTACCGCACTAGTGCAGTAATGTGTTACTATGGTTACACTTTACCGTACTAGTGCGGAAAAAATTCATCTTTCTTCTCGATTGACATAACAAACTTGAACGTAACGAAATTCACGCGAGACAAAACGTCAATTTGTTATAACCTTCACTATTCAAAAAGGATAAAAGAAACGAGTGTTCAAGACTGTCCACGCCGTTAGAACTTATAGAAGCAGCTGAATCTGCCATGAAGACTTTATTACCAAAAAAATCAAGAGATAAGTACATGAGTAAAAACATCTCAAATTGAACTTTCGCGATAGGCATTACAATAGTATATTGTGTATCAAGTGCGAAAAGTTGACAATTGGTCATGAGTGCGGGGAATGGACGCACGAGCCGAAGGCGAGGCGGCCGATCGCACGCCGCCATCTTGCCGCGGCACGGTGGGGGAATAGCCGTATTCAATACATTTCCTACGGCTTCAGCCGTATACAATGACTTTTAACGCGGCTGAGCCGTAGATAATGGCTTTGAACGCGGCTTATTCACTCACCGCGTCGCCGCTAGATGGCGGCGGGGGAAATCGGCCACTTCCCGCACAGAAAACATGCACCGAAAGTGCCACTTTGCCTGCACGTGTAATACAAAAAATATTGTATGTAGCATGTGCGGAGGACAATGAATACATCGCGCATAAAGTTGCCGCATTCGCCTTAGCTTATGATACATTCACACTTGTACTCGTGTGAATGCATCATAATAAGCCTTTGGCTCATGCGGCAACTTCACGCGCGATTCGTTATTTTCCGTACTTGCCACATAAGATACTCTTATATATATTTTACAAGAAAAAACATTTGATAAATATGATATGATTTCTCGCTTTTGACATTATAATCTATGACATCAATGAAAGATCAAAAGCCTTAGAAAAATTCTATACAAACCATCCACACAAATTTAAAAAACATATATACTTCATATATAGTTTAATTGAATTTGACGAATATTATTAGAGATAAAATCAAATATAGATCATACCTTGCGTTCCTATGACCCATATATTTCTGTTTCACACAAAATTCCGTTAGATAAACATCATCAAACGTTTCGTGTCCTTGTGACGAATGAACATTAGTAATTGATTCATCCATTTCAGCTTCAATTGGATGTAGTAATCTGAAATTATATTAAAAAGATTATAGAAAGAAAAAATTTTAATCCTAAAGTACCCAAATAATTAAAGTTTGTCGAGAACAGATCTTGCTAAGTGTATATATATAATTATGCTGTTTTTTAAATCGGTCAACAGAGCCAAAGCACGAAAAATTAATTATTCGGAACTGTATCTCTTGGTTTGAGATCACTAAGTTCCATATATAAATTAATCTCGAAACTTACATATGGAGAAATAGGCGCGAAAAATATAGGTCCGAAAAGTCGCTGAAGCGGGAATCGAACCCGCGTCTTTCACTTTCCGGGCGATTGCTCTTACCATCTAACAATCTACTAATCACGGCGTTATTTACTAACATCTACTAAAAGGCAAATGAAAAATATAGGATCAAAAGGGTCTGAATAGCTTAGTTGGTAAGAGCAGTCGCCCGGAAAGTGAAAGACGCGGGTTCGATTCCCGCTTCAGCGACTTTTCGGACCTATATTTTACGCGCCTATTTCTCCATATGTAAGTTTCGAGATTAATTTATATATGGAACTTAGTGATCTCAAACCAAGAGATACAGTTCCGAATAATTAATTTTTCGTGCTTTGGCTCTGTTGGCCGATTTAAAAAACAGCATATTTATATTCTTAATATTGAGAGCCGATAAAAATATTTCTTTCTAAGTGTATATATGTTACAAATTATCAGCAAAAATCTGACAACAAATTATATTCGATTTTTGCTGTTAGATTATGTAAACAGTCTCTGCCAGTAGATCACAGGTTTGATGCAAACATACTAATGTCAATTTGCTAATATTTTCTGAGTAAATCTATTGTCAATTTGCTGGCATATTGAATGCATTTTGCTTACTAATAATGTGAAAATATAATTATGTAAAGAAAACATTTCAACAAACCTTTCATCTGATTGGACATCTTCATCGTCACTATCAATGCATGTAGATTCTTCAATTTCTACAAAAATATGAATATGTTACATATTAAAATCTATAAAAGGATTAACAAGAGTAAACGAGAATGATATGTACCTTCTCTAACATCGTTGTAATGGTGATAGCTGCAATTATTGCTCGGGCCTGCATCAAGAGTTCGATCATTATTACTTCTAGAGGGTCCTGATAAATAAACTGTTATGATAAAGTCACAATTCACAAGTATAATTAACAGAAATAAAAAAAATACTCACCTGGATGACAACCGTCACGAGTCATTTCATCACCGACATCAAGCGAAATTGTGGCATTGGTTGAACTTTTATCAGAATATGTTAAATTCACAGCAGGTTCACTACCATGTCTATATGTATATTAAATCATAATTAATTTCAAAGAAAAAATTTGTTTAATTTATGTTACCTTAATAAAAAAATTTAAGCATTACCTTTCAAGAAAATTATCTCGCATTGTCGTTAATCTATCCTGAAGATGTTCCATCATATTTCCCTGTTTGCTAGATATATTTGCACATGAATCTTCATTCTCACTTCTGTTTTGATCATATACATTATTATGTTCAATTCTATCATGACTACTTATAGATTCTGTGAAAGCAACTTGAGATTGCCTAGTTTGATTAGATTCAGCAGTTTCTATAGAAATATCGTCGTTCACATTCGCTGATGAATTCAACAATACTGATTGATTACATTCCTGTGGTCTTTCTCTTCCTTGGTGTTTTTCAGTATTCGTTGTATACTTCGTGTTTCTACTTTCGATTCTATTAATATGCATGCTTGTATTTCCTAAAAATGATACACTAGAATAAAGCATCAGGATATGATATACAGGGTGTTGAAAAAAAGGATAAAATATTTTAAGAGAATTTAGTATATCCAAAAGCAAGTCGAAAAGTCTTAATAAATATGGGTCTACAAATAAATCGTTTTTGAGGTACTTTTATTTTTTTAATATATGTATATATTTTTATTTTTATAATTTTTATTTTTTGTTTTAAATTTTTATTTTTATTATTATTATTTTTATATTTTATTTTATGCATGTAAATATAGGTAAATTAAATTAAATTATAGATAACTTTAAAGTTATATGAGATATTGAAAATATCTCAAAAAAGACTCATTTGCGTATCCAATGTTTATTAAATTTTGTAACTTATTTTGAGGCATACTAAAATATTTTACCTTTCTTTTTCAATGCCTTGTATAAATAGTCTAATTTCATAATAACATCATAATTTCTAAATATTTGTCTGTTACCAGTTGTTTCCAGATGATTATTCTGCTCTACATTTAATTCAACTGATTCATTACTCCTCTCCGCGTTTGATTCAGGATTATTCTCAATATTTCGAAAACCTTCTTGCTGCTCAATAACATTTTCTAAACTGTCTTCGCCGCCGCCACCACTCAAAGCAGCACGAGTGGCTGGATCATTTAACATTCTGCTAAGCACATCCGTCATTCTTTGCATGAGAGACGTATGCAACATCGGTCTTGCTTGAGCGACTTCTAAAATAAATAATATATAATATTAAGATTTTTTCACATTATACGTTTGTCATTAAAATTATTACATAGATAATAATCATATAAAACAATCATATAAAAATTTCATATAACTTCAAGTAAGCATAAAAATTTGAAAATAATAAATGCTTAACTCTTAAAAACTTAAAGTCTGTACTTGAAAAAGTATTTAGAGTTTTTTAATTCTCTCCCTAGAACCATCGTCTTTTAGAGGAACATATTTTGTATAATAAATATGGACTTTTCTTTGTAAATTAAAAAAATGCAATTTGTACAATTTTTTTTGTAGAGTTATTACATCAAAATTACCTATACATTTTTGTTCAATTACCAAGATTGAAATTCACACTATAAGGAATGTTAATGCATGTGCGTGCATGTAGGGGAACGGAATGTGGGAGTGTTTTCACTTAAAATTATATACTGAAAACGAACTATTTTTGATAAAATTAAAATTTGATTAAATTAAAAAGATTTGGATTAGATCAGAATTTTTCTCCATCCACGCTTTCACTTTATAATACACTAGACAACACAAGCGCGCGCTTCGCGCGCACCATTGGTATTGTTTTTCTTTTTATTTTATAACTGTCAAATTGTTAATCTTCGCGATGATAGTTGCTTGATACTTTCAATTTAGCAACAAAACGATTCGAGATAAACAATTAGTACCGCAGAAAAGCGGCAACAATACTTGCGAGAATGCCCTTTTTAAAAAGGAACATAAATTTAATTCCCGAATTTCTATTATATATTACATAATTTTCATTCGTCGAACTTTTATTATGTACATAATTTTAATTCACCGAATTAATATACTAACATAATTTTAATTCGTCAAATTTCTATTATATACATAATTTTAATTCCCGAATTTCTATTATGTACATAATTTTAGTTATTGAATTTCTATTATACATATATATGTACATAATTTTAATTTTTCTATTATGTATACATAATTTTAAATCATACATATTTATTGAAATTTCGACCTAACTGGCCAGTACAATTTAATTTAAAACACTACGTTTCGACCCTTAGGTACGGGTCCTTTTCAAGTGTAACTGCACAATAAAAATATATACAATGATTAAGATATGAAACAATAATTTACAAAGTTGTTAACGAAGAAATTTAAAATAATATAAAAATATAAATAATAAAAATAATGTAATGTACCTGTCAAGATGTTGATTCGACAGTAGTAAAATTACTAATGTTAAAACGGAGACAAGTAAATCAATTTAAGTCAAACGTTAAAAACACAATAATATCAAAGTTCGACAATACACCAAAATAAATAAATAATAAATAAATAGACAATCATATACTGTGTATCAATTTATCATAAATAGGATTTAGATTTTCTGTGTCTCTTTGTAAATTAATGTGTGTGTTATTCTTATATTTTTTAATAAAAAACATCTCCGCTAATTTTCTCTTCCTTCTGTGTTTTTCGCAATGCAAAATCCTAGGTTCCATCCATTTAAAGTCATGGTCATATTTTATTTGATGTTTGCTAATTACGTTAAAATTGCTATGATGTTGTTTAATATTTTTAAAATGTTCGTTTACGCGTGTAGCTAATTGTCTTTTTGTTTGCCCTGTATATGTTGCATTGCAATCGTTACATTCTATCTGATAAACAACGTCAGTTTTTTTCATATGATTGATCTTATCTTTACCTCTCTTAATTAATCTATTTAATTTTTTCGGGATCGTATAAACAAAGTCTAGTCCACATTTTTTGAACGCATTACTCAGATTTTCGCTCAAGCTTTTTACATACGGTATCGGTAACAATGATTTCATATTTAACTTTTTACATCTATTGTCATTGACCATCAAAAATTCTCTACGGTGTTTTAGAGTTTTAATTCTCTTCTCAATATGTAGTTCAATGAAAGGTTTCGGGAAGCAATTGTTGACCAAAATATCCGTAATAATTCTGATGTTATTAGTGTGAAAGCATTTATTTGAAAGTAATAAGGCTCTGTCGACTAAACTTCTAATCGTGTTGATTTTGTACTGAAGAGGGTGGTTAGATAGGAAATTAATATACCTGCCAGAAAAAGTGAGTTTTCTGTACCAATTGGTCAACAATGCCCCCTCCGCCTTTACAACAGTCACGTCCAGGAAATGTATAGAACCGTTAACTTCAACTTCATGCGTGAACATTAGGCGTTCGTGGTAACCATTAAACATCGTTAATATTTCATCAATTTTTGTTTTTGGTGCTATTGCAAAAATGTTGTCAACGTATCTGTAAAAGACCGGTATACAATTTAACTTGCTTAAATACTGTGTTTTAAGCTCGTCCATGACTAAGTCAGCCAATATTGATGATAAGGGTGACCCCATCGGACAGCCGAAAATTTGTTCGTAATATTTTCCACCAAATTCGAAGCTCGTTAGATCAAAGACAACCGAAAGTGCATGTAAAAACTGGGGCAATGTCAAATCAGTATTTTTCGTAATATACGTCCATCTCAATAAATATGTATGGTTTTACTCTTCACTGGCGACTTCATTAATTTTATCATAATTTTAAATCATCGATTTTCTATTATGTATATGATTTTAATTCATTGAATTTCTATTACGTACATAATATTAATTCTCCGAATTTCTATTATGTGCATAATTTTAAATCCCAAATTTCTATTATGCACATAATTTTAATTTGCTGAATTTCTATTATGAACATTATTTTAATTTGTCGGATTTCTATTGTGTACATAAATTTAATTCACCGAATTCATATTACGAACATAATAAAAATTTACCGAATTTCTAATATATATATAATATGAATTTATCAAGTTTCTATTAGCATTCGAAATTTATAATAGATTCAACTCTCCGCTTCGCATAAAGATACACGGTATGCCTCGCTTTTACTTTTTTTATTCAGCTATGCCGTTAAATGGACGCGAAACACTACCGTGTTTCTTGATGTACATAATATTAATTCGCCGAATTTCTATTATGTATATAATAAAAATACAGGAATTATATTTATATATATAATGGAAATTTGGTGAATTAAAATTATGTGCTTAAATAATAGAAATTCGGGAATTAATATTATGTACACATAATAGTTTGATGAATTAAAATCATGTACATAATAAAAATTCAATGATTTAAATATATGTACGTTCATTCTGTACATATAAGAGAAATTCGGTAACTAATATTATACATATACATAATAAAAATTCGGGAATTAATATTATGTACGTAATAAAAATACAGTGAATTAAAATTATGTATCATATAAAAATTCGGCGAATTAAAATTATATATAATGGAAATTCGCTTACTTACATTCTGCTCTGCTATCCTCTTGGCAATAGCATTAAATTGAATAGCAAATGCATTCCGTATAAAATTAAATATGATCTTCCAAATGTATACGAATACGCGCACGAATGCAGAATGAAAAATAATTAAATAATTAAATAATTGCGGTTTTTTAATGTTTATAAGTTTAAAATAAATAAATATCTTAAGATTTATTGCTCGTTTAATTGGCCTAAATATCATTTTATGTTTTAATTAATTTATTTAATTTATACGAGCTTTCCAATTTTGATTTTAAAAATAATTAATATCATTTACATGCTTTTTTTAGAAATGGAAATTTTATTTTGACAACTGCCAAACTGTTAACCCTCTCAACAGCTGCTTGATGCTATGAATCTACGAATCTAAGCATAACAACGGCAAATCGAGACAGCCAATCTGCATTGGGGAAAAGCGACGACAATATCAATAACATGTCTTTTTTTAGAAAAGGGATACATATATTCCTATAATGCTCAAAAAATAAAATAATTTTATATAATACTGTAAATTATTATTAATTAATTTCTATAGCAATTGAAATAATCTCCCACAATATATCCTTACAATTTTACAATCTGCGCCGCTACGAGACATGCGAAACACGACTTTTCCGCGGTGACAAGTAAGCGAGTAGTACGGTACTGTGCCGCTAGGCGGCGTACAGCGAGTCGGCAAACTCGCAGGAGGAATACAACCGAAACGGTATATATACCGGATCCTTGAGGAGATGGAACACACTTGATGACTTTCGGGCGCTAGACGCTAGAGTTCACGGCATCATTCGCTAACGTTAAAACGTCAGAAAGGAATCAAGGAGAGAATATTTTTTCCCTCGAGTATCAGAAGACGAAAGAAGCCCGACGGAGAACAAGACGGCGTGATATCGCTACACGAGATCTCCGCCAAGCGAGGAAATTTGACCCCACCAACTTCCGACGTCACACCGATGTCCTCCGGCGCCAATTGTCCAGAATCTGGCATCAGATATGTGAGCGCCAGTCGCCTAAGAGGTGGCGCTTCTTGGCTTTTCTTTGGCTTCCAGTCGTAATCCTCAGCCAGCGAAGGACCCAGCAGCCGGCCATCTTCTTCTGGCGTCAGTCGTCATGAATACGAAAACGCCCGGACACCTTTGTTTGGTGCCAATTGTCGTAAACCCGAGAATCGATCACCTTTCTCCAGCACCGATTGCCCGGGATTCGATGCTCGATCCCTTCCTTGCGATGAATCCAGCATTCAACCACCAACTCTCTGTGCTAGATACCTGGATGTCGCTATCTCCCATCTTCGACAAATCTTTAGCAGGAGAAGGTCTTGACCGCTCGATCATTTCAATTTCCTATTGAGAACGCTGTCCATCTACATCTATTTTGAGAGAAATCCTGCCGTTAATCTCGTCCACAAAAAAAACTTCGAACACAAAAACGATCAATACCCAGACGTCCAGTCCAGTGAGTAAGACTTTCAAAGATGCAGCTACACAAACAAAGAAAAGAGGAGGCAAACGACGTATTTATACGTACAAAAGATATATTTAAAGAGTATGTAAATGTTACACATAAGAATATACATATATATCAACACACGTATAAACACAGATGTAGTATACTAGAAATAAAAAATTAAAATTAAAAAAGAAATAAAAAAAAAAAAAAAATAAAAAAATTAGTGTGTTATATCAAACAAACTTCCATTCATTTCAATTCGCCTCTCCGCTCCTTGTAGGTCTATAGTAATAATCCAATTATATAAAAACGACCGACAATTTTACTTATATATTTTAAATTTAGTTATAAAACGTGTATATCATAAAATGTATTTTGAAAAAAGCGTTTAATCGTTTATCCTTGTTTTCAATACGAAACGAGATCAATGTTCCCACAATTTCACTTAGATTTACAATTTCCATGCGATTTATTTAATAACATCCCCCAAAATTGCAAATTCATGTGAAATTATAAAAAGAAAAATTCAGGTCAAGGGTTGCGAACAATAAGTCAGACTTATGCGTTTGTGACAAGTGCAAAGACAATGTGACGTCTCGACAGAAATTTTTTTTACAAGTATTGATGCTGCAACAGGTTTGTGTATTATTTGCTATACGTTTAATATATTTAATGGTAATTCGGTAAATTTGTAATAGACTTAATTTTTGTGTTAATCATAATTGAAATTCAATAGTTCTTAAAATTATATTTTAATAATTTTTTAAGAGATTTTTGTACTAATCAGAGCAAAAATTGAAAATTGTAAAATCCTCTATAAAAAAATAGATTTTTTTCTATATTGTGTGCGTGCGTGCGTGTGTGTGTGATGCGAATTTCCTGGTACCTAATTTTTCATGTAAATATAGTTCTATTATAGTTGTAGAATAGATTATATCGAAATAAAATATGCCGTAGGCTAAGGATTGATTCGTCGGTCGCCGTTACGCTCACAAATAATAAAAGTTTAGCACAGTATTAATGAAGATGATAAGATTAATCAAAAGTAAAAACAGTTAATACAAAAATAGGGCCATTTTTATGTGTGTGTTATATTGCCTTTTAATTATTTAATACTTGAAATAATTTAGTATCTATTACAGTTTTCTTCATTATGGTAATAAAAACATTGAAAAATAATACAAAATCAACTAATCTTTACCACTGTTCAAGCTCGTATGTAAACAAACACAATGATAACTTACTTAATATTACGTATAAGACTATATATAAGTACATATAAGACTATATGAAACAAGCAATAAAAAAATATTTTATTCTTGGAAAAATTTTAATTTTAAAACTAATTACAAAATAAACTCTAATATTCTTAATTACAGTAAACGTTTCGAACTATACTTAGTCTTCCTCAGTACACAAAAAAAAATAATAAAAAATGTTCTAATAAACATTTACTGAAACAGCAGCCATCGACAATTAAAAAATCAAATTTTAGAGTGGGTTACCGTTATCTTAATAATCTTGACAAATTTATTAGAGTTCACAAGGACAAAAACGTGTATAATACTAATAATAATGTCGTCTATAAAATTAATTGTAAAAATTGTGAAGTTTCTTATGTTGGGCAAACCAAAAGAAAATTACGTACTAGATTAAAGGAGCATATTAATAACGTAAAATTTGATTCTTTCAAGCATTCGGTGGACTCTGAACATATTGTAAATGAAAAACATGCTTTTGATTGGGATAACGTTAAAATACTTGATATGGAATCGAACTACCATAAAAGACTTATCTCGGAGATGATACATATAAAGGAACAAAAGCATAGTATAAATAATAATACAGACACCGAATTGCTTCACAACGCTTATGTTAACATTCTAGAAGAAATAGCGAATTTTTAGATTTATTAAAATGTTTATGTTTTGCGGCTTGACATCTATATATTCAACTTTTTTAACTGACATGACATCAAGTACTAAGTTCAACAACAATTAGAAGCATTGTCATCTTTAATTTATTCGGGACAATTGTAAGTAATAAGTAATTAATTTTTAATTTTTTACATATACATAAGGTGATTTTTATTTTATAATATAACTTTTTTAAATTCAGTTTATAATGACACAAATATTAAATAACTTAGAAGAGATGGATACGGTCATTGCCAAACTGATAGCCTTTCGCCGACTAACGATGAGTGATCGGTTTGAACGAATGTTTAAGTGCCACTCCGAAGTTTTAATAGTTAAAAAAAATTTTTTTTATTAGCGGGATAAATTATGTTAATTCGATTTTGCTTCTAATTGGGATTTTTCGCGTTAAACTATATGTAATTATTTCATTGTATTGTTAACGTATTTTACCTTTTAATTTTGACATAACTATTTAATTTATTATTACTATTGTATTGCGACTCTTTATTAGAACATTTTTTGTTATTTTTTTTTGCGTACTGAGAAAGATTAAGTATAGTTCAAAACGTTTATTGTAATTAAGAATATTAGAGTTTATTTTGTGATTAGTTTTAAAATTAAAACTTTTTCAAGAATAAAAATTTTTTTTATTGCTCGTTTCATATGGCCTTGTAATATTAAGTAAGTTATCATTGTTTGAAAACATTGATTTATGATTGTTACAATGGCAAATATTTTTGTATTAAATTTTGTTACTTTTAATAGCTTAGTATCACTTACCTGTCCCATTGCGACGTCCTCCTTCTCTTTCTGGACGCGCATTAGGACCAGTATCAGACCAATCACCGCGAAGTCTTAAGCGACGAACTGGCTGAGAGGATCTTAATGGATGCTTTTTCCCTTTTCCTTTTCCTATTGTTGCATCTTTCCGCAATTGCAGACTACCTTGATCCTGAATAATTAATTTTAAAAATAAGTAATATACTGATGTTAGAAATAATCAACAACTTAAAGACATATACATATGAAATAGACACAATATTGAAAAATAAATGTATAATAAATAAAGCAAATATTCTTCCATAATTATTACTTTGACACTGAATAAGTAGAGATGATCACTGCTATAGCTGACAAGAACGTCTTGTCCATCCGGGCTATAACTGAGCGACGTAATTCTGTAAGAACTACCTTCAAATTCAGGGACAGTAAAACTGTTTAGTGATCTCACTTTTTTTGCGTCTTTCCATCCTGTAAAATATGCATATATACTTTGCATGCATTTGTACTTCGCATGATACACACACACGCACACACGCACGCACACGCACGCACGCACACACACACACACACACACACACACACACACACACGCACGCACGCACGCACGCACACACGCACACACGCACACACGCACACACACACACACACACACACACACACACACACACACACACACACACACACACACAGGGTGTCCCGCAACATAATGTCCACAGTCAAACTTTGTGTTTTTAGGATCCTTCTAAGTTAAAAAGTCTTAATACACATATTCCGTAAAGTCGATTGTTTTAAAGTTGCAGCAAAAAAACAAAATTGCATATAATAAGAAAGTATTATTTATTAAAGATAATAATTTTATTTAATGAATTATATTATATAATTAGAAAAAAAATAAATAAATGTGTAAATAATAATTAAAAATTAATTTTTAAATTATTATTTGTATATTTATTTATTATTTATTTTTTTATTATGACAACGCATGTAATTATTTTTTGTAATGTCAATCACGAAAGTTCCAAATTTTGCTGTTTAGCGTGCAGATGGTGGTTTATTTCCCCACGATTCAATGTATGCCTTACTTTACCGCACAAGTGCGAAAAAAATACTTATGACTTACATTACCGCATAGTTTATAAAGTAGCAAAAAGTTCGAAACACTGAAAAATCTCGAAAAGTATACATTTTGCAAAAGAAAGTTTCAGACAAAAAAGTTGTAGGTTTTTAAAAAATCCATTTACTGATCTTATCAGTTTGACCTTAGACGGCGTTATCAAGATCAGAATAAGGTCACCTTGAATTTCTTAAATGGAACCCTATATTTTTTATTACATATTCTTGAAGCTTACCTCGAGAGCTTTTCAAAACTATAATTAAGTTATTTTTTATAAGGTACTTTCCGAGTTACACGGCTTGAAAGTTATACTACCTAACCGCCAGTATTAGCGTTATTTAAATGGTAAATCCTATTTTTTACTCAAAAAATCGGATGAATCAATAATTTTACCTGTTTCGATGTGTAGTCGTGTTACGAGTCAACATATTCCTAAGGGTCATTTAAAAATCGAATTCATATTGTTTAAGATGAGTTGCTGAATAAATTATTATGATATTATTAAGACGAAATCTAATAAAAGCCCATTGGTTTTTAGGGGTCACATTTGAAAATTCAAAGTACTTCTACAATGTAGTTAGAACTACATAATTAGAATTAGTTGTATAAGAATGTTGTACGTTTTGTATGATATCATAAACTAATTATTTATCGCAACTGAAAAATCTTGTCGTAAACGTCATTATTGTTCATTGTGATCTCTTGAATTAGTGAAGGTTTTTCCGTATTCTTCAACATTCTTACATACAGACTCTTTCTTCCATTCGTCTTCATTTTTGAAATTTGTTAGAATTGTAATTACGGCAAGCCTGTAACTTTCAAGCTTTGTAACTCGAAAAGTACCTTATAAAAATAACTTAATTATAGTGTTTTGAAAAGTTCTCAAGGTAAATTACAAGAATATGTAATAAAAAATAGGGTTCCATTGAAGAAATTCAAGGTGATCTTATTGTAAACTTGGTAACGCCACCCAAGGTCAAACTCATAAGATCAATAAATATATTTTTTTAAACCCTACAACTTTTGTCTGAAACTTTTTTCTGTAAATCGTATATTTATCGAGATTTTTCAGTGTTCCGATCTTTTTGGGACACCCTATATAATATTATCATTCAATAAATAAAATTATTATCTTTAATAAATAATAGTTATCATATTATATGCAATTTCGTCTTTTCGCTACAATTAAAAAAAAAATCGACTTTAGGACATATTAATCGACTAAACTAACGAGTAAATAATTTATTCAGCTTCACGACGTTTCGATCATGTGATTGTAGTCCTTATCAAGTAAAACAAAATGAAATAAATTAAAGTTAACACTTATTTTATTATGTTTCACTCAAATTAAAGTTAACATTTATTTCATTATGTTTCACTTGATAAGGACCACAATCACATGGTCGAAATGTCATGAAACTGAATAAATTATTTACTCGCTATAGTTTGGTTGATTAATTTCTACAACTCCTATTTAAATACTAGTGACTGTTATTAATATTTTTGGGAATTTATTTAGGGCATATGTGTATTAAGACTTTTTGATTTAGAATGATCCCAAAAATATAAAGTTTTATTTGTTGTGGACATTACATTGCGGGACACCCTATAATATATATATATATATATATATATATATATATAACGGTATTATATATATATATATATATACCGTTATATATTTTATATTATATTTCATAAAAATTACCGGTGTCTGACGTGTTAAGAGTTCTTCTGTCGAATATTCTTACAGCGCTATCAGAACAACCGATCGCTATATGATAAGGCAGTACAGGATTCACGGACAAAGCAGTCACGGCTCTTTGACACGAGATTAGCACATTCTAAAATAATTTAAAAAATGTTTCAATTTAATGCTATATAAAATTTATGTATATTAAATGTAAACTATAATAGTAAATTTTTTATTAAAACTGCATAATATAAAGTCATTGAAGCTGAGTCAATTATTATGTATTATTGTTATCAAATTTTTTCTGAATAGTATTATACAAGAACTATATGCTTACTTCTTTACATCTTGCAGTGCTACACTTATCCTTCACTCTAAGATCAAACAATCTCACTGTCCCGTCTTCTCCACAGCTTAAAAAACTATGTGGTTCATCGGGTATTGTCGCTATTTCATAAGCAGTACCAGTATGGCAAGAAAATTGATTGTGAAATGTTTCTGTTGTTCTCATCAAATCTGCAAATTATTATTAAGCAATTAATAAAAAATATAACCCAACATTTTTTAACTTATAATTATACTTGTTGACTTTTACCTGTATACAAAATAATACCATCTCCACTACAAGAAACAATACTATGATCTCCGCTATTAGGTAAAAACTTGGCACTAAAAATATTTGCCCTGTGACTGGTTTTGTAAGCTGTCAGTACCTTAACAAATAATAAAATTAATATATAAATATTATATTTTAAATATTTATTACAATTATTATATATACAAAATGCGCATTATTTCAATAGCGCAATATTTTCTTATACATTATATGTATATATTATTATCAAGAATAATATGTTTTGCGCCAAGTCATGCGCAATAATATAACAAAAAAATCATGTATCTTTATGCAAACAGTTTCAATATTTTAGATTATTAGATCTTACTAAAATTGAGCAATTTTACAACCTCTTGTCCCATAAAAACATAGTGGCCACCCATCATGTAAAAAATCTTATAGCTATTAACTTATAGTTATTCGTATAGATTTTTTGCCAAATTCAGGATACGCAAAAGTAGGAAAAACGTGAAGAACAAATTTTTTTATTGTACTATAATAATTGTTTTTAGGTCAAAATGAAGAAAAAAAGTTGGTCATTTTTACGTTATTTTGGTTCATTATTTGTAACCATTGGTTTCAATCAGCAATAACTTAGTAATACAAATTTAGAGAAAGATTTTTAAAACAAGATTGTTAAGAAAATTTCAAGCTTTTATACCAAAGAATTGAAAAATTTTGTAATTTTTTTTACATACGTAGTAGATCTGCAAAGTGAGAAGAAAATTTTTAATTTTGTCTAGTTCGTAGTTTTCTATATGTAAAAATTAACAGAAACTTAAAAAAGTAGTGATCTTTCAAAAGTAGAGATTTCAAGTTTTAAAATTCTTTTTTGAAATTTGAATTTTGTTCATTTTTAACAAAGTTATAACTCATTGAATTTTGCTTATTTTTAAAAAAAAATTTAAGTGCTCTTCTAATTGTTTTGCCTAGTGTCCTATTTGAAAAAAGGCATGTGACGCTTTAATTGTTCCCGTGCTGCCGATTGCTTCTTTCAGTGCGCTCAGTTCATGTCTTATGCAGCTGTCATTTGTTTTAATTTGCGGTTATTTGCAAATTGATAGTTCGCATAAAAAGAAGTCTAAAAATCAGTTGCACAGGAAGTCTCGCGATATATGTGTGATAAAAAAATCAAAACAATATTAATGGCGCGCGCGAAGCGCGCGCTTGTGTTGCTAGTAAAATATATATTATAGTATGCATGAATAAAATAATAAAAAAATTTTTTTAAATAGCAGCTAGAAAAATAAAATAATTTTATAATTATAAAGATAGATTTTAATCTATATGTTATTAATAGTTATCAGCATTAAAATCTAGATAAATATACATAAAGGTCACATTTCAAGTTTAACCCCTATTTTGTTAGATATGTAGGACAGAGTTTTTTGAGTAATTTCCCGCAAGAATCAAGTGATGATCGGCATTTGTTTAGATCCTATTTGAAAAAAGGCATGTGACGCTTTAATTGTTGACGTTTTTCCGCGATGCTGATTGGTTGTTTCGATTTGCCGTTGTTATGCGTTAGATTTATAGCATCGAGCAGTTGTTGAGAAGGTTAACAGTTTGACAGTTGTCAAAATTTTATATAAATATATTATGATATATTAATTATTTTTCGTTCTGCATTCGTGCGGGTATTCGTACATTTGCTGTCATTTAACTTAATGCTATTGCCAAGAGGACAGCAGAACAAAATGTAAGTAAGCGAATTTCCATTATATACATAATTTTGAATTTCCATTATTTGCATAATTTTAATTCGTTGAATTTCTATTGTGTACATAATTTTTATTCTTAAATTTTTATTATATTCATAATTTATTCGCCAAATTTCTATTATGTATATAATTTTAATTTGTCGAATTTTTATTATATGTACATAATTTTAATTAGACGTATTTAAATTATGTACAAAATTTTATTATTGAATTTTTATTGTGTACGTAATTTTAATTCTTACATTTACATTATGTTTAAATTTTGATTCGCCGAATTTCTATTATGTATATAATTTGTATTCTTGAATTATGATTTATAATTTTAATTCGTCGAATTTCTATTATGTACATAATTTTAGTGGAATTTCTATTAGGTACAATTTCAGTTATTTACATAATAGAAATACGGCGAATTAAAATTATGTGCATAATAGAAATTCAAGAATTAAAATTATATGTACATAATAAAAAATAAAAAATTAAAGTTATGTGCATAATAAAAATTCAGCAAATTAAAATTAGGTTCGTAATAGAAATTCAGCAAATAAAAATTATGTATATGTATAATAAAAATTCGGGAATTAGAGTAATGTTAATAATTGAAATTCGACGAATTAAAATTATATCCACTTGCGGAGTAAAATTTCTTTGGCGCGTGCGAAGCGCGCGCTTGTATTATCTAGTCCTTTTATAAAAAAAAGACATGCAAAGTCGATTTTTACATGTATTATTGCCGCTTTTCCGCGTTACTAATTGGTTGTGTCGATTTGCATTGTGTGTTATATTCATACTAGATAACACAAGCGCGCGCTAAACAAATTTTTACTCCGCGATTGTACATAATTTTAATTTGCCGAATTTCTTTTATATAAATAATTTTAATTTTTGATTTTCCATTATGTTCATAATTTTAATTCGTGAATTTCTATTATGCACATAATTTTAATTTGTCGTATTTCTATTATGTAAATAACTGAAATTGTACCTAATAGAATTTTTTTCATTTACAGTTAGAATTCTCTTTTACACAACTTTATAAACAAAAGATAAATAAAAGAAAAACAGAATAATATTTTTGTTTTGCACATTTATGCTATTAATATAAAAATATTAGACAAAGGAAATATTTAGTCTTAAAAAATAATCCGAAAATAAAGCAATCGATTGATATAATACATAAAATTGGGTATCTAATCATCATATAAATTATAAAGTTCTGCAAGTATTTTACCCGACAAGCAAGCTTTTGCACCGCCAGATTCAGAATGCAAACAATCGTTATTTGATTGTGAACAACTAAAACATTTAATATTAGGTGTTAGCAAACAGCTCATACGTGACTTTAAAGCCAGGTATTCCCTCAAAGGTTTCTCTACTTTCTTGTCAGTGCACTTATTCAGCACAGGAGTATATTTTTTAACTGATATAATCTTTGTGCTAGACTTTTTATTAATGATATCCAACTTATTTTCTAAATTCACGAAGCTATCATTTTCCTTATTACTCTCGAAAGAAAGATCGATTTGACATACCTAATGACTGAATTCCAGATTTGTACTTTCCATCTCTTTTTACAAGTTTCGTTAAATTAGTATCAAGTGTTTTATAAACTTCTTTCGGAATATAACTGTCTTCAGTATTAATATTATTGCTAATCGTATATAGCGATTTTGTGTTTGTATCATTCATTATTTCTATATTATTATTTAAATTTTCAATCATCTTTAAAATCTTGGTAGTATTATTGTTATCGATTTCCTTTGTTGTTATATGAAATATGTACATAATCTAAATTAACTGAATTTCTATATATACGTAATTTTAATTCACCAAATTTCTATGTTCCTTTCTAACTGAGAAACTGTAGTCAAAACCACTCAATCACAAAATTAGTAAACACTTATTTATCAGATTTTATAACTAATGGACACACCAAATCCTTTAATATACATTACTATCACTACACTAACCCCTCGATACATACAACTGTCAAAATATGCAATGACAGCCGCTCACGAAGTAAACGCTGACGGAACCAATCGGCATCGCGGATTAAAGGCAACAATACTTCGAGATATTTGAGAATAAATAACATGCCTTTTTTAGAAAGGGAAAAAGGTTAAATGTTAATTTATTTTAATTTATGTCAGACTTGATAAGGACCCAAAACAAGGGTTGAAACGTCGTCATTAATTTTATTTTGATGTCTATCCAACAATAAAGATATATTTTATGCCAGTTGGGTCATTAAAAATTATTTGATTTGTTTTATTAATCACTGGCGGAAAAAAAGAATTACTACTTATTATTTTTAATAAATAACAAACTTTTTAATAAACTAACTTTTGCAACGTTATTTAAGGTAGTGACCTTAATAATATAGTTCAAAATTATGGAAATTGGGAGATGATCCCTATCTCTATATAATTATCTTTTTTTACCTAGGTCATAAACAGATTACTATGACATACATAAATATGATTATTTCTAATATTAGTTTATAATACTAAAGAAAACGCATTAAAATTGTTAAACTTTAATTTGTTATATTTCTTAAATCAATACCAACTGTCAATTTCTTGCGGAAAATTATTCAAAATACTCCCCTCCTACAACATATATATTTATATATAAGTGACCTTTTATGTACATTTATCAAAATCTAATTTTAAAAATTTTAATAAAAAATCTAAATAGAGTATAGAAAAACAAAATTATATCAAGAAATTTTTAATTTTTCTATAAATAAAATTGCATAGTAAATCACATGACTTCACTAGTATTTCATATAAAACATTTTATTTTCAAAATTTAATCAAAGGTAAAAAAGTATTTTGAGGATTATTAAGTATAATTACGTTTTAAGACACGTGGGTTTCAAGGATAAAATTAAAAATAATCTTGGCACAATCTTCTTTGAGAATATTAATAAGTAACAAGTCAAGGGAAGTAACAGACTTCAGTAATAATGTGTATAAATTATTAGCTGCATAGTACTAAAATAAAATATGTGCATTATAAAAATTTAAATTTCTATAAGAGAATCAGTATAAAAAATTAATAAAATCATAAATATGAATATGTGCAAAACATTTTTCTAATCTTTAAATCTAGTCAAGAATATAAACTATTTATATACCTCATATTTATGTGCATTAGTTAAAACAAGATGCTGATCATCACTCCCAGACAATATCAGTTCTCCACTATTATTCCAGCAAATAGAATTCACACAACCATTGTGGACTTTTAGTTCCTTCAGCAATTTCATACGCTGTATCAACTGTAAACTAGCTGTAATACAAGTAGTCAGCAATATTTTTTAAAAATATATTATAATAACTCTAATAACATAATTTAATGTGTCATAAATGCAAAATTTTAATCTAACAAGATAAAATATACAGATATATAAGTATTTATGTCATTCCATTTATCATAATAAATTGCCAATGAACAAAGAGATTAAAGATGCTATGTTTATAATAGTTGCTTTCCATTTACATCAAAACTCAGATAAATCTCACTTCTGTCTTTCTTCAACATCCATGTTAAAGAAAAACAGAAGTAAGATTTATCTAAGTTTTGATGTACATAAATGGAAAGCAACTAATATAAAATGCATTGTGTGTAGTTTTCTTTTCTTCACAAAAGTCATTATATACTTGTATCATTTAGGTATATTAAAAAAAATTACCTTTGCTGCTAGAATAAAATTTGAGTCTTGTGCAATCATTGTAGGGTTGATAATAGATATCACGGAAGATGTTAGCGCGTGTCTTCCTCATAATTGAATCTTAATCGAAATTCTTTGCAAAAATCTTCACAACTTTATGAATTCTATGGCCTGACCAGGTAATGTCGTCTAACGATTCGGATTACACGACACAATTGACGAAATTGATGACGCGATGACGATATTTGTGTACGATTCCCATCGAGTTTTTAGGAACTTCGTAGCACGTAATTACGCAGCAAAAGTTTCGCATCGATGCGACACATTCATTACTAAAAATAAACATGGTGATGCACAACAAATTTGCATGATATTCTGATCACTAATGTTTATCTACTACATTCTCTCAACTGTTCTTAGTCTCAAATGATATAACTGAGCTAATCTGACCATAGACTTAGGCATATATAATACATAGATGGAGCATTATCTGTCGATGTAATCACCGACGAGATAAGCGGGGAGCACACTCTTGCATAGGCGCATAAGCGTAAACATGAGAATCTTGATTGGTCTATAAACATATGCATAAGAAATTCAACCAATCAAATTTCTTATGCATATGCTTATGCGCTTATACAAGAGCGTGTGTTCCCTGCTATACTATTAAAGACCGACGGCCTTACGGGAGTTTGTGTCGTCTACTAAAGCGGGGAACACACTCTTTTGCATAGGCGCATAAGCGTAAGCATAAGAATCTTGATTAGTCTATGAACGTATGCATAAGAAATTCGATTGGTTGAATTTCTTATGCATACGTTCATAGACCAATCAAAATTTTCATATTTACGCTTATGCACCTATGCAAAAGCATCGATATATATAATAGATAGAACATTGCGACAGCCAAGCGGGCGCTCGCTATCGAGAGAGAGGGACTACATCTGAAGCCTATGTTTGTTTCTTTTGCTAGCATCTCATTGGTTATAAGGAGACAATATAACCAATAAGATGCTAGTAAAAGAGACAAACATAGGCCTCAGATGTAGTCTCTCTCTCGATAGCGGGCGCTCGCTTGGCTGTCGCAATGCTCTATCCATTATATATATCGATGGGCAAAAGTGTGTGCTCCCCGCTTAAATAGGCCTGTCAGTAACTATGACCCCAATTACACGGCACCCTTAATCGGGTTTAATAACATCCGTAGTTGTAAGACTGGCCAATTACAACCGTTCCATTCTTCAGGGGAACGGCTGTGATTGGCCAGTCTTACAACTGCAAATGTTATTAAACCCGATTAAGGGTGCCGTGTAATTGGAGTCTATCAAATTTCTATTTTATATATACTAGACAACACAATCGCGCACTTTGCGCGCTCTATTGATTTTATGTGCTTTGATTTAATATTATTTTGAACAACTATCAAACTATTAACCTTCGTGACGACAGCTGCTCAATGCTACAAATATAAAGCGGAGAGCATACACTCTTGCATAAACGCATAAGCATATGCATAAGAAATTCGATTGGTTGAATTTCTTATGCATACGTTTATAGACCAATCAAGATTATTATGCTTACGCTTATGTGTCTATGCAAAAGTGTGTGTTCCCCGCTTAACACACAACGCAAATCGAGACAACCAATCAGCAACACGAAAAAGCGACAACAATACATGCGAGAATCGATTTTGCATGCCTCTTTTACAAAAAAGATAAATACTTAAATATATATATTTAATTATTAATTATGTTGAATTTAAACTATATAATTATAATTTACAATATAGTAGAACAAATAAAATGTTCTTATTAGCTATTTATTCGGTCACGATTATTGACCGATGCCAGGCCCACTTGGTAGAGACAAAAATTTACCTAGGACTGACGGTCTTTAAGGGTCGACAGGCGACATGGTGGAGACGCCTATCGGCCGGCCGGGAATTACGGATTCGTTCATCCCAGATATTAGCCAAAATACTTAATGAATCTTATTAAATTTACGATATTCTTAATCAGTAGGATTGTTCGCAGGGAGACAAAGATTGATTTTTTGGATAAAAGATGAATATAAAATTCATAATATAACTTGGGGAGATGCGCAGCTAGCAGCGGGTAAGGTTGGGTTAGCCACGAGATCGTATTTAATTTATTATAAATTTTTAAGAGCAATAATGCAAAATTTAACTCTTTGTCTTCTTGCTTTATTATATAAAAAATATATTAAAAAATATTTCACGAAGCTACGTAACTTCTTTTTATGTAATATTTGGAATGAACAAATAGGGTGCATTCGTTTATGCAGAGACTGCCGCAGAATGCCGCAGATGTCGTTCGTTTACTCCACCTGCGCAACCGACTGCAGCGCAGTTTGTTGTTCGTTTAAGCAGAGCTGCTGCCTATCTGCGCAGCCATCTCGGAGGTCCTGCTCAGGATGCTCTGCTCGCAATACTGCGGACTACTGCGTAAACGAATGTAGTCTTCTCCATTGTTAAGCCAATTGAACTTGGAAACGTTGTCTGAAAATTATTTCAATTATAAGTTATGTTATAAAAGTTCAGAACAAAGAAGGTGGAGAACAACTCCTCCAAATAGATCCTACAAAACTAAAAGTAATGCAAGGTAAGTAATACAATAAAATTATGAAATCTGTTAATTTATATTTACGATCCAATTAACTTAAAAATGCATTTTTATCAAGAATATAAATTTAAAGTAATCTGTTTCAAAAAAATGTGCTTTTGTATAAAGATGCAATTCTGTTACAGTCATTCCTAGCTATCAAGCTACTTCGTCCCCAGTTAGTTTGGAAAAATCTGAGAAGTCTACATTCAGCAACATTTCAATCCTACTGTCATCACTGTCTGAAAATGTTATGTGCACACGTCATATGTCAGAACCTTCAATCTATTTAAAAATTTTATTATATTTATTCAAATAATAATTCATATTTAATATAAATATGATGGTTTCTAAATCGGCCTAAGAGCCATAGCACGAAAAATTACGAAAATTAATTATTCGGAACTGTATCTCTTTGGTACGAGATTACTAAAGTTCCATATATTAATTAACCTCGAACTTACATATGGAGAAATAGGCACGAAAAATATAGATCCGAAAAGTCTGAATAGCTTAGTGGTAAGAGCAGTCGCCCGGAAAGTGAAAGACGCGGGTTTGATTCCCGCTTCAGCGACTTTTCGGACCTATATTTTTCGCGCCTATTTCTCCATATGTAAGTTCGAGGTTAATTAATATATGGAACTTTAGTAATCTCGTACCAAGAAATACAGTTCCGAATAATTAATTTTCGTAATTTTTCGTGCTATGGCTCTTAGGCCAATTTAGAAACCATCATATTTATATTGTTTATATTGAGAGCCAATAAAAAATATTTATTTCTGAGTTAATTCATATTTATTTAAAATTTCTTTACTTACGCACTCCAATTACAATCTGAGCAGTCAATTCACGCAGGTGATCGTTCGGTAAATGATGTCACGTGACTCGCAGATAATAGACGCAGTAGATGCGCAGTGGATGCGCTAATCGCTGCATAAACGAATGCACCCATAATCTATACTCACTAGATCTATACTCATGGAAAAATTTTTGTGGTAACATACTGACAGCTTGACAAGGAGAGAGTATTATTCTATCTTTGTCTCTCTTGCATTTGATATGTGTAAAATCAGTATAAATACAAAAACCAATATATTACGCACACGAATAAGAAATATTTTACATCTGCTCATTATATATGAAAATATAAAAGTAATGCAAATTAAATTTCACATTTATTTATAATAGTATTGTGAGGTAGTAACACATGGAAATTTTATAAGATGAATGCTGTACATCGATTAGCATAATATTATGATTACAAGTCGCAATAAATGATTTTGCTAATATATTATTTTGAATAAAAATTTTATAAGATAACAAATAAAAATAAAATAAATAAATTTTATTCATTCTTTGTTTTTTTCTATTATTTTTTCTATTATTTAAATAAAAGGCGTATCGTATGTAATAGATAAATAATAATTTATATATATATGTATATATTAATATATATATATATATATATATATATATATATATATATTAATTTCAATATATACATATATATATAAATTATTATTTATCTATTACATACGATACGCCTTTTATTTAAATAATAGAAAAAATAATAGAAAAAAACAAAGAATGAATAAAATTTATTTATTTTATTTTTATTTGTTCCCAGATAGCACAAGACGTCCTATGGACGTTCATTTTATATCCATTTTACGTATGTACGTCCATGGACATAAAATGAACGTCCATTGTACATCCGATTTCGGACATCCATCAGTGACTAATATATATATATATATATATATATATATATATATATATTAATTTCAAAACGTAATTATATATTTATATAAATTATCTATCTATTTAATTTATTACACACGATACATCTTTTATTCAAATAATAGAAAAAATAATTAATAGAAGAAGAAAACAAAGAATAAAGAAAATTTATTAATTTCATTTTTTTTGTTTTTATATTTTTTTAATTTTTATTCAAAATAATATATTAGTAAAATCATTTATTGACTTGTAATCATATTATGCTAATCGATGTACAGCATTCATCTTATATGATTTTCATGTATTAATTCTCATAATACTATTATAAATTAATGTAAAATTTAATTTCCATTACTTTTATATTTTTATATATGATGAGCAAATGTAAAATATTTCTTATCCGTGTGCGTAATATATATTAAAATATAATTATTATATAAATAATTAAATAAAAATTTATATAATAAATAATTTATTATATTCATAAAAAAAATTTATGTAATAAATTGTCTGTATAATATTTTACTTATTTATAAATGTATTTTATAAATAAATGAAATATTATATATATATATATATATATATAAGTTTATATACATATATATATATATATATATATATATATATATATATACACATATGACAACCGTTATCTTGATTTTTTCCGATTATTGATGTTACATTGTATAACTCTCATTTCTTTCTCTCTGCTACATAAGTACTTATGACGTAAAAGAACTTACGAGTAACGTATAATAGCTCAATGCAAGAATATTTAATCACGTAAAAAACTTGAGTTCAAATATATCAATATCAATTTTTTTATATTATATTGGAATATAGAAAATCACAGAAATATATTTTTTATATAGGCGATAAACTTAAAAATTTGATATTGAAAATATTTTAATTATTTTACAACTACACACATTATAAATATATAAATGCAAAATAATTCCGTAAATAAATTTTAAGTAATAAATCAATTGCACACATGCACACAGCTGGTATGTAGATTTTTATTAAATTTATTTTTAAATTTATTTTCAAAATTATTTTACACTTATATATAGTGTATGTAGTAAAAATATTATATATATATATATATATATATATATATATATACCCACACGGAAAAACCTCTAATGGATGTCCACTAGACATCCATCAAGGAAATTCAAAACCTCTATTAGACGTCCACGAAACCTCCTATAGACGTCTACTAGACATCCACAGTTCCGCAATTCATATATCCATTCGACATCCATTAGACGTATTCATGGATATTGTATGGACGTAATATGGAGTATACCATGGAGCAATTTGAACGTAATATGGAGCAATCATAGATATTTCATGGAGCTTTGATAGATAATAAATAGACGTTAATTGGAAGACATGTAGATGTAGATTTTTTATTTTGTTTTGGTTTTCTTCGCTGTAAATTAATGTAGACAATTTTTTTATTAACAGAAAATATTTTTATTGATGAAATAAATATGTTTATGAATACAAGTAAAACTAATATACAATATATTAATATAAAATTAATATAAGTATTTTTTATGGAATAAAATTAATATAAGTATTTATAATGTACATATAAATTTTTCTGCGACTTATCTAACTCCAAGAACGACAAAAAGAAAGATAAACGCATTTACAAATTTATGAAGACTTTTCTCGCTCCATTTTCGTTCTCAATACAAAAACTTCCCAAATTATACATATATATATATTTTTTTTTCCGAGTAACGCGAGGACATATATCTTATAATTAGACAAATTAGGTCGATAAAATAATATATAGATACAAATATTTGTATAGTAATGCTAATTGTAATAATGACAAACATGAACGCTTATTCTCTTATGAAAAATTTTCGTATGCGAAGATGACGCTGAACAAAAATTGTGTGTGTGTGTTGTGTGTGCGTGCGTGCGTGTATGTGTATGTGAGATTGGTATATACTTTTACACAGTTAAAAATATATACCAATCAGAGGGATCGCGCAGCATCATTTTCGCATACGAAAAATTTTCTCGCTCCATTTTCGGTTTCTACGAAAAAAATCTTTCCAGATTATACATATATATATTTTACCCGAGTAACGCGAGGACCTTATAATTAGACAAAGTAGGTCGATAAAACAATATATATATAGATACAATTATGTGTATAGTAATGCTAATTGTAATTAAACTACTGACAAACATGAACGCTTATTCTCATATGAAAAATTTTCATATGCGAAGGTGACGCTGTACGAATATTGCGTGCGTGCGTGCATGTGCGTGTGTGTTAGCGTTTGTGTGTGTGTGTGTGTGTGTGTGCGCGTGTGCGTGCGTGTGTGCTGTGTGTGTCTCTCTCTCTCTCTCTGTGTGTGTGTGTGTGTGATTGGTATATACTTTTAAATTTAAAAATATATACCAATCTGAAGAATCGCGTAGCGTCTTTCGCATAGGAAAATTTTTCGATTTTAACAATTGAGGTCCTGGAACAATTCTAACAGGGAGAGGCTTCGTCCGCGCATATCACTGGCTTCATCGGTCTTCATCGGTCCAGTCTCTGCAATCTCGCTACATTGCTGAAATATAAAAGTATGTGTGATATACACGTATAATATAAAACATCAGATGGGTGATAAAAAAAAGTGCAAACGCAATATTAAAAGTAGATAAAAATTATTGCAGGAAAGGGGCACTGAAATTATATTTTTTTTTCGTCACACAATTTCCAATATAGACGAAGAGAGAATATAATTACATTGCCCCTCTTCTTGCTAATGTTGACGCGTTGACTTGTATGAAAGCGCGCAATTTATGACTACGTTTATACGATCCGATTTACGCCGCAATTATAACATCGATATTATTATTAATACAAACGTTTAAGGGTGACGTGTAAACGTAGGGTGCTTTCCATTTAGCGACACAAGTCGACAGAAGTATCATTCTATCTTTGTTGTTCACTGTTGTTGAAAAAAGACAGAATGATGCTTGTGTCGACTTGTGTTGCTAAATAGAAAGCACTCGTAGTCATCTCGCTCGTAAAAGCGAAGCGTTCGCGCCAGTGATGTCAGAAAGAATTAAGCTTCGAGCAACACGCATCTCCCCCCACCCCGCCCTTATGGTTGCGTGTTGCTCAAAGCTCGCTTTTAAAGGCTTTGTTTACACCGAGCACTTGATACGCGTACCAAATCCTATACGTCCTATAGGTCAGATAAGTCCTATAAGTCAGATAAGAGTCGGTAGTCGCGATCGACAGTTGAGTCGGTCTTTGTAATCTTGCGACAGGAGCTTAACAGTGGTATGTGGCGTATGTACAATATGTGACGTAATTTACGGTCTTGTGGAAGGATCAAATGTAGTGTTAATATACAGTGAGCGTCAAAGATGAGTATACATCTAAAATACATATAAACATTAAGTAACAGTATAATGTGTAACATTAATATTATAATTTTTCATATATAAGGCATGCTACATTGCAATTACGTTGCAGTTATCTTGTTAAGTGAGAAATTATAATATTAATAGGAGCTTTCCGGCAAGACACAGTGTAACACAACCCATACAGCACAGATTATTGCAATTATATTGCAGCAACGTTGCAATGTTGCAAGTTGCAATGCAATATTATAAAGACATTGCAGAGATATAAGTGCACAAAATTCCAGCACACTTGTAGTAACATGACATTAATATTTCGGAAATATTGCATGTAATCCAAATTTTATAATTTATATATTGTAATATATATAAATTAACTACAACGTATTTTCATTAATGATTTATTTACATTTATATACCTGTATATGCAACATTAGTTTATGGTTGCAATAACAATGCATTATTGCAAACTCATAACATATTGCAATATTGTTGTAATATTTTGTTGCAATCTTCCAAAAAGCGGACATTTTAACATTGCTGCAATTCAACAGCAATGATGTAGCAACATTTTGCAGTGAATTTGCAATATTGCAATGTTGCGGTGAAAGATTGTTGTAATGTTTTTGCAATCTATCGGTGCTGTATGGGAATGTTCACTAGTGTAAGTGAGACACACTGATACGTTCTCTCTCACACTAATGGACACTGGTGTCGCCTGTGTTACCTGCTGGAAAGTTCCCAAAAATGTTACGTTACCGTTAAGCCTGAGACACAATGCGAGGCAATAGCGATAGGAATAACATAGCACAAATTTCAACCTATAAGAAACCACATTCCATTGGTACGTGGTTTCTTATAGGTTGAAATTTGTGCTGTGCTATTTCTATCGCTATTGCCTCGCATTGTGTCTCAGGCTTTACTTTATCTTTACTGGAATTCTAAAGTACAATATTAGAGAACTGTGTTTTCATTGACATTATTAATAACTTTTCATTTCTCTATTCACTGCAGTCCTCCAAGAAATTAGACAAAGCATTACCTTCGCGTTTATTCATCCGCTTCTCCTCATTTTCATGCCTCGCCTTGGAATGTCGGAACCACTCCATAACTCGTCGTTGTATTTTTCTCTGGTCGGAATCCGGGATATTGTGAAGTATGGATCCTGTAAACATTTTCTTTGTTTTAACTTTCTTATTTTATATTCATTGAGATAGAGAGTGCATCAATTATATTTGAATAATTTTGCTTTTTTAGTTTTATAATGCAAAAAGATTAAAAGTACACAAAATTTTATTCACATAAATTGATTCATCGAAAACTTTTTAAATTTGATTAAAATAATAAACAATTACGAATATCTACGTGGTGTCGAATGGAAAATTGCTGAAAATAAACAGCTGTCATTTTCAAATGCACATAGAGAGGAAGCAGTAAAAGTAAAATATTTTCTAAGAGAGGCATTTTTATTTATACATAGAGTAAAGACAAATATCGGAAATATACTTATTATTTAATAAACGATTTATAAAAGATGGTTCAAGATAATAAAGGAAATTGATCAGAGCTGTGAGAATTAAAAGCAATGAATGGCATCTCAAAAGAGACGTAAAGTTACGTAAAATTATTTATAGTTTCCGCAAGAGATATGATTTTTGTTTCAATGATGTTTTAATGATGCACTTTAAATATGTCATTAAAAAAAAACTTTATTATAAATGATAAGAATGTCTTTACTCTATGTGAAAATAAAACTGCTGAATGTCCTCTATTTAAAGATATTTTAATTTTTTCTGCTCCCTACGTGTATTTAAAAATAACAGCTATATATATAGGCCCGTATTCAGAACTGCACGTTTCAGAACGGTCAATTTTTAACGCACATAAGAAACAAAAAAATTAAAAATTTTTTTACAGAGGACATTTTGCATTTATTTACATTTAAACAAAGATAATTGGAAATAATTTTATTACTACGAACAAACGTTTATTTCAAAATGCTAATTAAATATATATATATAACAGTTAATTTCAGTAATTTATCAAGGGCGCATTGTACTATATTGTCCGTATTCGGAATGCGCTTTTAAAAATGTTAGCGCGCTTTTTTATCATTCTATCCTTATTTCACGTTTAATGAACAATAAAGATAGAATGACAAAAAAGCACGCTAACATCTTTAAAAGCGTTCTGAATACGGACCATGCATATAGTACAATGCGTCATGATAAATTACTGAAACTGTTATAATTAAATTAGTATTTTAAAATAAACGTTTGTTTGTAGTGATAAAATTATTTCCAATCTTTATTTAAATGTAAATATAAATGCAAAATGTCATCTGTTAAAAGATTTTTTTATTTTTTTGTTCCTTATGTGCGTTAAAAACTGACCGTTAATTATAGTCAACAAATTTCCGTGACACCCTGTAAAATAATACAGAGAGAAAGAGCGAGAGAGAGAGAGAGAGAGAGAGAGTTTGCATGCGCGCGCGCGTGTGTGTGTGTGTGTGTGTGCAGTTTTTTTATCTGTCATTATGTGTATATATAGTATATGAAAGCATTACTTAATCACATATTTTTACGTTTAATTAATATTTAAACTTACTGAAAATAACTTTCATCACTTCCAGTTTCTGCAGTGGTTCCTTTCCGCGTCGGCCTTCCCAGTTATATCTCTCCGCCAATTTATTGGAGAATACTTTATACAATGTTCTCTTTACGGCATCATCGACACTTGTCCCTCCGATGGATTTGATATATCCGCGCTATAAAATAAAAAAGTAAAATAATATATTATTATCAGATTAAATAATTTCTTAAAATTCTTTTAAATTCTCAATCTTTCCAATCATTTTTTTATAACAATTTTAAATTATTAATAATCTGAACGATAAAATGTATGCAATAAAAGCTTGTAAAACTTCATGGTAATTGTGAGTTACAGTATTTGTTCAATTATCAAAATATAATTTCGCGTCTGATTATTTTATTGGTAAAATATTTATATCTTATATATATAAATTTATATGCGTTTACTTACTATTTCAGTGTTATGTTGGGAATTTGACGCTTTCAAGATCTCCTCAACTTCCGCTAACTGAGCCACGGTTTGCAAGGGAAACCGGTTTTCAGCGCCCTCAAAGGAAATTTGTGTTCTCTCACATTCTGTGTCTTTATTAATTTTGTCCACTATGATGTCTACTAAGGTCAGTATTTGCCTCACATCATATTTTACTGATGCTACTTCCCTCGTTAATTTTTTTAAATGATCAACTACAAATATTATTAGTATTTATTTTCTTGAAGGCAACGTGTAATACGACTGATTTATAAAATCAACATGATATGTAATTGTAATGTATCAATAGCATATAAATTTATATAATAAATGTGTTAACGTTTATAATAATAATATAAAAAAAATACAAAAACATATAATAAAATGTAGACGGTGAGAATATTTAAACAATAAGATGTGCGTGATCATGATTTAGCGATGCGCGGATCGATTGCGCGGGGAACGATTTCCTTGCGCGACGGTTCGATACAAAATGAGTTAGTCGCTCGGGATCAGCCGACATAATAACACGCGAATCTCCTTGACTTGTTTGTATCCTGTAAGATCGACCATCTCGTATTAAAGCCTTTATACCTGCTATTGAATCGAATTACTTATATATTTCCTGACACGCCGCTCCTAATTGAGGGAATTATTAGTTATAATAATCACCCCCCCCCACAAAATTCAGAAGTGGGATTCTGATCGTTCGGATTATTTGAATTATTCGGATATCGGATCGAATTTGAGTGCACGTTCACGGAGTGATTTTATAGCGTCTGACTTTTGATTGTGAGACTCGCGTTGCAGTGAAATTGACGAACCGCGAAATTGACGGCGGTGGGTCGAAAAATTTTTTTTTTTTATATATCGTGTCAGCTTTGTGATCCCGCGATTCGATAGTTGTTACTTGCTGTAATTATCGCGAATCGTTAACGGCCGAATTTGAACGTTGTTTTTGCGGGGTGCTATTGTGACATTGAAACAATACATTCGAGAATTTTATCGGCTTGTGACCTTGTTGACGGGTAATATTGTGTGCTTCCCGTTGTTGTTATACCGGGTGAGCGGTGACTTTGCTACGTGACTTGAGAGTTTTTAGCAGTAAAATATTGTCGTTGCGAGGATGGAGCGGTCGCCTCAAGATAGATTGAACGATTTGACCGTTGTGAATTTGAAGGATATCGCGCGGCAGGTCGGAGTGTCTGCGAGCGGCGCGAAGGTCGAATTAGTGGCGCGAATATTAGCTGTCGGTGAAGACGGGTGGCGAAGTGCATATGAGCATTGTTTGGGCGGTGATGTGCAGGGTTGGACGGGCATGAATACAGATGTGTCGGAGCAACAATCGACTTCTGGAGGTGGAGTATCGTTGCGTTCCGGGGTGGTCATTGCGGCCCAGCACGGCCCTGCGTTGCCCCCAGAATTGATGGAGAGAGAAATAGATATATTGAAGCGCGAGAAAGCTCTCTTGGAGCGAGAATTGAGTCTCGTCCGTCGGGAAGCGAGTATGACGCCGAGTGTTGAAGACAATGCTAGCGACCGCAGTATCGATTCAAGAGTCAACATCCGGATCATTAGTGATTTATTGGGTGAGTTTCGCGGCGATTGCGACAGTTTTGAAACATGGAGGAGACAAGTTGAACTTTTGCGTGCAACATATCGGTTAGACGAGAATTCGACCAGAATATTGATTAATTTGAGGTTGAAGAATAAAGCTTTGAGCTGGTTTCATTCGAAATCAGAGCATTTGCAATTAAGTGCTGCAGACTTGCTATCGGAGATGTCTCGCATGTTTGATAGTCGCCCCAGTAAGCTGACATTGAGGCGTGATTTTGAGAAGCGGAAGTGGCGAAGCGGCGAAACATTCACGGAGTATTATCACGAGAAAGTGGTTCTCGCTAACAGAGTATCCGTCGACGGGGAGGAGCTTGTTGACTGTTTAATCGACGGGGTGCAGGATACACGTATGCGGAATCAGGCGCGGATGATGCGCTTTGCGTCGGCAGTGGACGTATTAGATGCGTTCAGGAAGCTGTCGTTGGATGGCGGGGCCGGAGGCGGGGGAGAGCGAGCTGCGAGGGGACAGCGACCAGTGCCGAAATCCGGTGGAGGAGGAATATCTACGACGAAGGGCGGTACCATCCGCTGCTATAATTGTGGGGCGACTGGACATTTCTCCAGAGACTGCAAGGAGGAACAGAAGCGGGCGAGGGGCTCGTGCTTTGGATGCGGCAGTCTGGAGCATCGCGTGAAGGAGTGTCCGAAGTCGCGGCCGGGAGCGGAGAACACGACGAGCGTGGTCCAGCCGGTCTCACCGAGTACTCCATACCTGGTAACCCTCGCGTATCAGGTCGCGGATGCGTCCGGTAGCAGATGTAAATATTCATTGATGGCGATGATTGATTCGGGGTCACCCATTAGTTTAATTAAAGGTGATTTTGTACCGGCTCATATTCGCATGCCGATTGTTAAACAACAATCCTTTTTCGGTATTAATGGGACTAAGTTGGAAATGTTGGGGACCTTCGAGGATGTTGTCGAGATCAACGATATCGAATTAAAAATAAAATTTTTTGTTGTTCCGGATACGGCAATAACGTGTGCTGCTTTACTTGGTCGAGATTTCACATCGTCGCCGTTAATTGAAATAACGTTGGGGGAAAAATTTAGTGTTTCGAGGGCAAATTCACGAACGGTGGATAGCTCGGATTTTGCGAGGCAGATTTTTCACATATCATATGTTGACCGTCCATTGTCTATTGCCGAAGCGATAAATATTAACCCGCAGATTAATTTTAAAATAAAAGAACGCGTCGAGAAATTGTATAATAATGAAAATATTATCAACACAGGACTCACAAGCCCTCAAAAAGAAATCGAAATGAATATAAATTTGACGCATGATCGGCCTATTAGTTTGAGACCGCGAAGACTCTCGTTTGCCGATAAAGAAAGGTTAAAACAAATACTGGATAAATTGTTGGAAGAGAAAATAATAAGATCAAGCAATTCTCCATACGCTTTTCCGATTGTACTCGTTCGTAAGAAAGACGGTGAATCGCGATTATGTATCGACTATCGCGAACTTAATAAGATAACAGTGAAAGATAATTTTCCGACACCTTTGATCGATGATCACTTGGATAGATTGCGGGGAAAATCCTATTTTTCTAGCCTCGATTTGAGAAACGGATTCCACCATGTTAAGGTTGCCGACGGATCGATGAAATATACGTCTTTTGTGACCCCCTTGGGTCAATTTGAATTTTTAAAAATGCCTTTCGGGTTGACGAATGCTCCGCGTGTCTTTCAGCGATATATTAACAGCATTTTTCGCGATTTAATTCGAGAGAATAAAATATTGGTGTATCTTGATGATATATTAATTGCAACTGAGAACGTTGACGAACATTTGGAAATTCTTCGTGAAGTTTTTGATTTGGCTCGACAACATGGATTGCAATTTCGCTTGGACAAATGTTCGTTTTTATATCGCGAGATTATTTATCTTGGTTATTCGATTGACGAGAGCGGCATTCGACCTAGCGCTATGAATGTGGAATCTGTTGTCGATTTTCCGATACCGCGTAACGCAAAGGAAGTTCACCGTTTTGTGGGTCTCGCAAGTTATTTCCGGAGATTTGTAAAAAATTTTTCGATCATTGCGAAACCGCTCTATGATCTAATAAAAAAGAATGTAGCTTTTAAATTTGGACCGGAAGAAAATCGTGTATTTGAAATGTTAAAGGGTTTGTTGTCGTCACAGCCGATTCTTGCCATTTATTCGCCGAAATTGGTAACAGAACTACATTGCGATGCCAGTGCTAGCGGATTTGGTGCAATTTTATTGCAAAAACAGAGTGACGGTACGATGCGACCCGTGTCTTATTTTAGTCGCAGAACTACAGCGACTGAAGCGCGGTATCACAGTTTTGAACTGGAGTGTTTAGCGGTCGTGTACGCGATCAAGAGATACCATATTTACCTGTCGGGAATTCCGTTTACTATCGTTACAGACTGTGATAGTTTCCGCCTTACATTGAGCAAACAGACTGTCAATCCGCGTATTTCGAGGTGGGCGATGTTCTTACAGGACTACGATTATAAGATCGAGCATCGCCCAGGCAAGCGAATGTCACATGTCGATGCGTTAAGCCGGTGTAACAGCGTATTAGTTTTGGAGGCCAATACTTTTGAACAAACATTGTCGATTCGGCAGGATAAAGATAAAGAAATTTGTGAAATTCGGAATAAACTAGAGAAGGGGGAAGATAAATTTTATGAATTGAGAGACGGTTTAGTTTACCGAAAAATTAAGAATAAAAAATTATTGTTTTACGTCCCGAAGTGTATGGAATTAAATGTAATAAAAACTTGTCATGACGATTTGGGTCATCTCGGGGTTGATAAAGTTGTCGATAACGTGATGAAAGTCTATTGGTTTCCAAACTTAAGAGAAAAAGTACGGGAATATATATCGAACTGCCTGAAATGTATTGAATTCTCCCCAGTTTCTGGAAAAAGGGAAGGATATTTACACAATATCCCAAAAGGGAAATTACCATTTCAAACTTTACATGCCGATCATTACGGACCACTAGAAAAAACGGGGAAAGGCTACCGATATATTTTCTCATTGATAGATGGATTTACGAAATTCATAAAATTATATCCGTGTAAGACAACGAGAAATGAGGAGGTAGTTCGACACTTAAAAGATTATTTTCGCGCGTACAGTAAGCCTAGGCGCTTGATAAGCGATCGTGGAACGTGTTTTACGTCACAAGCGTTCGAAAAATTTATGAACGAAGAATCTATTCATCACACTTTGATTGCCGTCGGTACTCCTCGCGCTAACGGACAAGTCGAACGCTTTAATCTCGTCCTTACGCCGATATTAGCAAAATTGTGCGATACGACAGAAAAATGGGACAGAGTGCTAGAAAGGGTCGAGTTTGCTTTAAATAATACGCGCTGTCGAAGCATAGATAATACCCCTAGTCAGTTGTTGTTCGGAATCGATCAAATAGGAACTGTGAGAGACGAAATCCGTATTCTACTCGACCAATATTCTGATGGCGATAGAGATTTGGAGGCCATTCGAGATCGTGCGGCGAACGTTATTGAAAAGTGTCAGCGAGCGAATGAAATCCATTATAATAGTAAACGGAAACGTGCTACTACCTACAAAATAGGTGATTACGTGGTAATCATCAATACCGATACAACGCCGGGTGTAAATAAGAAACTGATTCCAAAGTTTAAAGGTCCATATATTGTAAAAACCGTATTAGACAATGATCGTTATATTGTATCCGATATTGAGGGTTTTCAGATAACTCAAATGCCGTACACGGGAACTGTAAGTGCAGACCATATGAAAATGTATAGTAGGGATTAGACTAAGAGATATTATATTTCGTATTTGATTAACATATATAGATGTACGTAAATTTTGACGAGTATTATTGACTGTATTATATATTTTATTTTACGCATTTATTTATAGTACGCATGGCCGAGACGGCCATAATGTCAGGCTGGCCGAACTGTAGACGGTGAGAATATTTAAACAATAAGATGTGCGTGATCATGATTTAGCGATGCGCGGATCGATTGCGCGGGGAACGATTTCCTTGCGCGACGGTTCGATACAAAATGAGTTAGTCGCTCGGGATCAGCCGACATAATAACACGCGAATCTCCTTGACTTGTTTGTATCCTGTAAGATCGACCATCTCGTATTAAAGCCTTTATACCTGCTATTGAATCGAATTACTTATATATTTCCTGACACGCCGCTCCTAATTGAGGGAATTATTAGTTATAATAATCACCCCCCCACAAAAATATATAATAAAAAAACGTTATAAAATGTGCATAGTATATAAAATATACGAATAGCTTATAAAACATAAATTAGTCGCATTACACGCTGCTTTCAAACGATAAACCAGAAATATACAAGAATAAATGTAAACTGTTGAAAATATTTAAATTACACGCGCGCGCGCGTGTGTGTGTGTGTGTGTGTGCGCGCGCGCGCGCGGGTGTGTAACGTGTGCGTGAACGTGTGCGTGAGCGTGTGCGGGCGTGCGTGCGTACGTGTGTGTGTGTGTGTGTGTGAGAAAGAAAACGATTAAAATACACAATACTGCGGACATTGATATGTATAAAATCATATAAAAGAATGATTATTAAAAACATTATAAAAAGGACCAGTAAAGAGATTATTAAAAAATATTATTAAATTATGCGCATATATATATATATATATATATATATATATATATATATATAAAATGCGCATAATTTAACGATAATATTTTTTAATAATCACTTTAATAATACTTTAAGTACTTTGTTTAATATAACCTTTTCAATAATCCTTTTTTATAATAATTGAGTGCATAATTGTGTATTTTAACCGTATTTACACACACACACACACACACACATGCATTACATTTAAGCTGCGTTCGGGAACATCACACGAGTGCACACCGGCCGCCAAAACTCTATTCTATGCGTTAGGCCTGTTCTACAATAGAGTCGTAAGCTGTAAGATGTAAGAAATTGACCAATCACAGTCGATTTTTCTTCTATTTTAATTCGTCTGTGATTGGTCAATTTTTTATGTCTTACAGCTTACGACTCTATTGTAGAACAGGCCTAACGCATAGTATAAATTTTCAGCGGCCGGTGTGCATCCGCGTAATGTTCCCGAACGCAGCTTTACTTACCAATTGGACCTTCTGCGTGTGAAAATTGATTATTAAAATTTTCCTTTTCCTTTTCAATTTCTCTGTACGTATACTTATTCTTAGTAGCTCGGCCAATTTTTCCCGCATCATTGCCATTATGTCTCGAGCCGATCGATGGCGTCAATGGTGGATTGATGGTGTCATACCGATTATGTGTCGAATTAATTCGATTTTTCCCTTTTATTATAGGGCTGTTATGCGGATATTCATTGTCTGACCGACCATGGGCATGTATCAAGCCATCTCGAGTTTTCTCTCTTGGAGCAATAATAGTACGCGGCATATGTTCCTCAGCATCTGTTTCACATGAAGCACCGAAATCATCTCCATTCCTATCTTCATTAATAGGCGAAGCTGTAGAGAACAAAATTGTATGTATTATTTTAAATATTGTATATAAAAGTTAAATATATATATACACATATATATATATATATATATATGTAACTTTAATAATATTAAGTATAAATATGAAATTTTATGTAATGTTGCGAATGCTCACCTTGTAAAAATGATGAATGGGAGCTCGAGTTTGTAATTTGCGATGATTGTGATTTTTCGGAAGAGCGTACATTGGATGTAGTTTTACATTGTATCCGAGATACAATACATCTGAATCGTTGAGTCGTTGATCTGTGTCAAGATTTTAGTAATTAATTTTGATAGAATTTATATAGTCTGGATTTTATGAACTTCTCATTTCATTGTAACACTCTAAATTTTATTTCAAATTAAGATTACGATTTATCGTTAGCATTTTCCCAGATGCATCGGACCCACTCTAAATTTTATTTATTACAAAAGAAAAAATAAAAGTATCAACACGTCTTAACGGTCCGACGTTCGAAATTATACTGAATTTCGGTGATGATGTAACGTATTAGAATCGATGTAAGGTGACTTTGTGTTCGCCATAAATACTTTACCACGTGTTTTGAAAACTTTGATTCCAATACGCGACATCATCAAAGTGATTCAAGCTATAATATAAAGAAAAGTTAAAGAAATTTAAATATAATATAATTTTACATGAATTATAAGAACAATATATTATTATATATTAATAAAATAAAATATATGTATAATATATATGTGTAAATGTATGTATAAAATATATAATACAATATGTTAAATATAAGAGATATAAGAGAGTTTTACATATATATATACATACATATATTTAATGAAGAAAATATATATACATTGAATGCGTGTGTGTGTATGTATATATGCGCGCGCAATGAAAATGCTTATAACGTTACGTTTTGCAAGAGGACATGGAGCAGGTGGCAAATTTACACCAGACTCTTCTTCGCTTTCCGACGAAGAGTAAATTTTTCTCGCTCTGTTTTCGGTAATATTTTGCTTCCTTTTCCGTGTCCATATCTGACGTGTATAAAGCTTTCTCTGCCTTCGCATAAGCCTTCTGTAAGGACGCTGAAAATATTATAAACATTAAATATTATAAATAAGTAAAATATTTATAAAAGTCAGTAAAACCCTATACTTAAATATAGTACTTACAATATTCGCCAAAAATTCTTATAACTTCTAATGCGGGCCAATCAAACTTTGGTATCTCCTGTTTCTCTACCGCTTTTCGGATTTTTATATCCGTCTTAAAATGCGAGGGATATTTGCATTCATCTTTATTTTGCAACCAAATTTTTGGTATTACTTGAATACCATCCGGGAATTCTGCGACGACAAAGCCTTGATTCGACATCTTCTTATACGCATCTACAGCCCACGGGAAGTCAGGAGGAAAAGCGCACGGCGACGAGCTTTAAGGTCGATAATCCTAATAACATTCATGCGAATTAGTATATTCATCATTATATTCGACACGGAATTCTTTACAATTATATGCGAATTGAGGACTCTATACGTTTTTTATTATACAGAAAAGTGTGTAAGTCAAATTTATCATTCTCTTTTCGAGTTTACAGCGTCAGACATTTGCGTTTCGGAGCGATTGATTGCATGTATAGTAATATTTAATCAAATTTAACATTTACAATATATATAAATAATATTTACTGTGTATGTATGTGTAACTGTCAAATAAAAATTATTAAAGATTACAGATTACTTGTTTAATTTTTTTTATAACACTCCTTGTCTAATAGTATATTGTCCGAGTAATATAATCACAGCTGAATTATTAATTGCATGTATTGTAATATTTACCCAGTCAGAAATCATCCATCGAATTGACATATAATCGACGTCGAAATCATCACAATTACATCGAAGTACATGTAATTTCGATAATTTCGACGTCGATTATATGTCAATTCAATGGGTGATATTTGACTGGATAAATATATATATTACAATACATGATGCCGATTCGATTAATTATTTCTCGCCGGATAACGTTTAACTATATATACGTAAATATGCACACTCAAATAAAAACTATTCAATACTACAGATTATACTTGCCTTATTTTTTGCCAGCTCTCGTTGTCTACAGTTCATCAGAGGAACGGAACAGCGAACAGCGACGGACTTTATCGTTGTTAATTAATAGTTGTAATTAATAATACAATAGTAACTAACAATCGTTGCTATGTACCAGCGTTGTTAGGGACTCACAGACGCCGCGGACCGTCGCCGTGCTCGTCTCCTCTTCCGTTCCCGTCTGCGATCCGTGCAAGACGCGCCGTCGATTAGCCGTGAGCATTTTACAGGAGATATTAGCATTGGACAAGGAGAGCTATCAAAGAAATAAGGCAAGTATAATCTGAAATACATATTAAGTAGTTTTTATTTGAATAAAGTGCGTATGTACGTAGTTAAACGGTAATAATAATACATGCAATAAAAAGCGCGCCAAAATGTCCGTCGCGCATATGACCAGAGATACCGACAAAAAATTAATTCAGAAAGAGAGTAATGAATCATATACACTCGTCTGTAATAAACGTAGAGTTCCCAATTGGCACGTAATTATAAATTCTTTCGTTGCGGATAATGAGATGAATATAGAATATAGAGCCAATTTGCATGTATGAATGTTGTTTAGGACGTCGTCGCCGGCGATAAAGTCCGTCGCTGTTCGCTGTTCCGTTCCTCTGATGAACTGTAGACAACGAGAGCTGGCAAAAAATAAGGCAAGTATAATCTGTAGTATTGAATAGTTTTTATTTGAGTGTGCATATTTACGTATATATAGTTAAACGTTATCCGGCGAGAAATAATTAATCGAATCGGCATCATGTATTGTAATATATATATTTATCCAGTCAAATATCACCCATTGAATTGACATATAATCGACGTCGAAATTATCGAAATTACATGTACTTCGATGTAATTGTGATGATTTCGACGTCGATTATATGTCAATTCGATGGATGATTTCTGACTGGGTAAATATTACAATACATGCAATTAATAATTCAGCTGTGATTATATTACTCGGACAATATACTATTAGACAAGGAGTGTTATAAAAAAAATTAAACAAGTAATCTGTAATCTTTAATAATTTTTATTTGACAGTTACACATACATACACAGTAAATATTATTTATATATATTGTAAATGTTAAATTTGATTAAATATTACTATACATGCAATCAATCGCTCCGAAACGCAAATGTCTGACGCTGTAAACTCGAAAAGAGAATGATAAATTTGACTTACACACTTTTCTGTATAATAAAAAACGTATAGAGTCCTCAATTCGCATATAATTGTAAAGAATTCCGTGTCGAATATAATGATGAATATACTAATTCGCATGAATGTTATTAGGATTATCGACCTTAAAGCTCGTCGCCGTGCGCTTTTCCTCCTGACTTCCCATGGGCTGTAGATGCGTATAAGACGCATTAATTCAACGGAGATTCAAGGAGAGTAATCAAAAAAATTTAGCAAGTATAATTTGTAATCTGTAATAATTTTACTTGACAGTCACGCACACGCACGCACGCACGCACGAACGCACACGCGCACACACACACACACACACACACACACACACACACACACACACACACACACACACACACACGCACGCACGCACGCACACACACACACACACACGCACACCCACACAGTAAATATTATTTACATATTTTAAAAATACGTTACATTTATCACGTATACGTTACAAATATTACATAATAAATCCAATCAACCATGTCGAAACGCAAATGTCTGTCGCGTATTTCAGCGAGGTATCGCCGTAAGTTAATTCGAGAAGAGAGTGACGCATTATTTTCACTTGTCTTTAATGAAGAACGTAGAGCCAATTTGCACGAAATTAAAAATAATTTTACTTCGGATAATTCGGATAATAATGAATGTAGATCCAATTCGCACATAATTTTAAATAATTCCGCTTCGAGTAATGATAATGATGACTCTGGGAATGTTAATTTGAATAATACTCTTTTCGAAACACAAGAGGCAAATTTAACACATTCTAGTGAAACGAGAATCTCCGAATCTGATGTTTCTTTAAACAATGTATTGCCACACTTTATCAGAGAGGATAATAATTCAGAAAACGAAAACAATGATTTTGAAACATTTTTAGTACAATGGGCTATTACGCATCGTATTTCTCATGTAGCTTTATCACATTTATTGTCTGGTTTAAAAAAAGTGCATCCAATTTTTTCTAATTTGCCAAAATGTGCAAAGACATTATTACGTACACCACGATCTTCTAACGTTATTAATGAGATATTTCCTGGTCAATATTGTCATTTGGGTATGGAATATAGTATTTTGCAATTTTTATCTAAAAGTAATAATTCATCTTCTATTAAAATTCAAATCGGTATTGATGGTTTACCAATATCTCGATCCAATTCAAATCAATTATGGCCCATTTTAGGTCGTATTATGCCTCACGGGAAAGTATTTCTTATTGGTTGTTATTTCGGCAAAACCAAACCAGCGGATGCAAATCAATTCTTAGAACAATTTGTAAAAAATGTTACAGTTTTAATTAATGAAGGCATAACTTATAACGAAACAACATTCCCAGTGTCGATACATTCTATCATTTGTGATGCTCCGGCTAAATCTTTTATTACGCTTACTAAAGGACATACTGGTTATTTTAGCTGTTCGAAATGTACAATTGAAGGTGATTTTATCGCTAATAGAATTTGTTTTCCCGATTTTGATTGGCAAAAAAGAACAGACGCTAACTTTCGTAATCAAACCCAAGAAGAATACCATCTCGGTCGTCCTATTCTATTGAATATTCCAAATTTTGACATTGTGTCTCAAATTCCATTAGATTATATGCATTTGATATGTATCGGCGTTGTTAAGAAGCTAATAAAATTATGGATATGCGGTCCTCTTAATGCTAGATATTTATCCTCGCAACGAATACAAAATATTTCCAAATTTCTTCTCGATATCAGGCATTTTATTCCGAAAGAATTTGCGAGAAGACCGCGAGAAATTGAAGATTTTGCACAGTGGAAAGCAACCGAATTGAGACAATTTTTGTTATATACCGGTCCCGTTGTATTGCAAAAAGAATTAAAGCCTGATGTATTTTCCAACTTTCTCACTTTGCATGTTGCTGTTCGTATTTTATGTCAAAATAATAGTACGGCTGAATATATTGAATACGCGAGCAAATTATTGAGATATTTCGTTGAATGTTTTATTAAAATTTACGGGCCCGAATTTGTGTCTCATAATATTCACGGGCTTCTACACATTACTGATTGCGTAAAACAATTTGGGCCGTTAGATACTTTCAGTGCCTTTCCGTTTGAAAATTTTATGAAAGAATTAAAATCTATTTTAAGAAAATCTGAAAAACCATTGGAGCAAATTAGCAATCGCTATGCGGAAATGAGTTTTTGTAAAGTAAATTCTGACAATGTTAATATTTCAAAAATAAATGTAAAGAATCCACACGAGAGAGGACCGCTAATATCAGGTTGTTTTAATCCACAATTTTCGAAGATTGAATTTCCTCATTTTATTATTTCAGTCAAATCTCCTGATAATTGTTGTCTCATAGATAAAGATATCGTTTGTTTGGAAAATATCGCAACATCGAGTGAAGGCAATTATATTGCAGTAGGTCGTAAATTTAAGGTTGTCGAAGAACTTTATAATAATCCATGTAGTTCTGTTCATTTGGATATATTTAAAGTGAGTAAATTATCTGACATTCAAGTCTGGCCTTTACATAAAATTAGATCTAAATTTATAAAATTGCCATATAAAAATGAAAGATATTTCGCAGTAATACCGCTTATAAGCACCGCACATTTATAATATTTACATATTGCGCTCCGCTTTGTAATATCTTTTATAAATAAAAACTTAAAATAAATTGACAAAATTTAAATAAACTGACATTTAAATAAACTGACAAAATTGTGGTTGAGACAACAATTACATATACATAACAAATGCATATACATAACAATACACATATACACAAAACACATCTATATAAATTGATTTCTTTTTTTATTACAATATTACACGCAGAAGCTCTTTTTTAGAATCGCATTGGAAGATGTCGAATCAAGGCTTTGTCGTCGCAGAATTCCCGGATGGTATTCAAGTAATACCAAAAATTTGGTTGCAAAATAAAGATGAATGCAAATATCCCTCGCATTTTAAGACGGATATAAAAATCCGAAAAGCGGTAGAGAAACAGGAGATACCAAAGTTTGATTGGCCCGCATTAGAAGTTATAAGAATTTTTGGCGAATATTGTAAGTACTATATTTAAGTATAGGGTTTTACTGACTTTTATAAATATTTTACTTATTTATAATATTTAATGTTTATAATATTTTCAGCGTCCTTACAGAAGGCTTATGCGAAGGCAGAGAAAGCTTTATACACGTCAGATATGGACACGGAAAAGGAAGCAAAATATTACCGAAAACAGAGCGAGAAAAATTTACTCTTCGTCGGAAAGCGAAGAAGAGTCTGGTGTAAATTTGCCACCTGCTCCATGTCCTCTTGCAAAACGTAACGTTATAAGCATTTTCATTGCGCGCGCATATATACATACACACACACGCATTCAATGTATATATATTTTCTTCATTAAATATATGTATGTATATATATATGTAAAACTCTCTTATATCTCTTATATTTAACATATTGTATTATATATTTTATACATACATTTACACATATATATTATACATATATTTTATTTTATACACACACATACACACGCACGCACGCACGCACGCAATATTCGTACAACGTCACCTTTGCATATGAAAATTTTTTATATGAGAATAAGCGTTCATGTTTGTCAGTATAATTACAATTAGCATTACTATACACATAATTGTATCTATAATATATATATATTGTTTTACCGACCTAATTTGTCTAATTATAAGACGTCCTCGCGTTACTCGGGTAAAATATATATATGTATAATCTGGAAAGATTTTTTCGTAGAAACCGAAAATGGAGCGAGAAAATTTTTCGTATGCGAAAATGATGCTGCGCGATCCCTCTGATTGGTATATATTTTTAACTGTGTAAAAGTATATACCAATCTCACATACACACATACACGCACGCACGCACACGCACACACACACACACACACACAATACACACACAATTTTCGTTCAGCGTCATCTTCGCATACGAAAATTTTTCATAAGAGAATAAGCGTTCATGTTTGTCATCATTACAATTAGCATTACTATACAAATATTTGTATCTACATATTATTTTATCGACCTAATTTGTCTAATTATAAGATAATGTCCTCGCGTTACTCATCGGAAAAAAAATATATATATGTATAATCTGGGAACATTGTTTTTGTATTGAGACCGAAAATCAAGCGAGAAAAGTCTTCCTTTTGTAAATTCGGTATGTTATCTTTCTTTGTCATTCTAGGAGTTATGTAATAAAGGTCGCAAAAAAATTTATATATATATTGAAAATACACTTGTAGTAATTTTATATTAACATATTGTATTATATAATTATACTTTTATTTATAAACGTTATCAATAAAAATATATATTCTATTATAAAAAAATTGTCTACGTTAATTTTCATTAATTATTAGGAGATATTTATTTATCGAATTAATTTTTAAATTGTTGAATGTTTTTTAATCATTATTTATTTATTTGCGTACTTGTAAAAGTAATTTTATTAAAAACTAGCTAATGTATTTTTTGCAAGATTTAAAGTCATTTCAAATTCAATACTTTCTATTTTTAATTAAAAAATTAAAAATTTTTTATATTTAATAATAAATTTTATAAATATTACAGTTTAATCTAAAAAGTTTTGATTCATACAATTTGTTAATCTTGCTATTACATTGTATTATTATGTAAGTATATTTTTAAAAACTGTTTTAATAAATGTTACGTATATATAAGTTAAAATTGAATAATATATATATAATTACAAATTTTTCAATATTTTTTAAAACATTCTCAGAAATCAGAATTTTAAATAAAACTTAATTTTTATTTTATTCAATGCAAGGATGTATAAATCTATCATATATCCATAATAGATGTCTAATGTACATCCATGATGGATTTGTAGACGATATCTATTGTGGAGATAGTATGGATATCTATTAGAAATCCATCTGTTGTCCACCGTGGAGGTAGAGGTCGCATGGAGGTATGGAGGTTATATGGACGTCCATTGGATGTTTTGTTCCGTGTGGGATATATATATATACACGCACATATGTGCATAAGCATATATAAAATTTACAAAAAGTAGGTACTTATTAGCCTTGCTACGCTACTGCCTTCTGCTACGGAAGGCCAGAAAGCATTTTCAGGCCGCATCTCGCGTATACCGGCACGATAGAGAAACAAGGAGAACACGTGATTATCGGTCCTTGTCTCTCTATGGTGCGTCCGCGTGAGCAATGCAATGGTGTATGTACGTGTACAGACATGCACCACTACATAAAACCCGAGAATTGGTTTCTCGGCGTTAGCAACACTGAAATCGGAGTTTCGCGTTGTCACCGCGCAAGGTCTCCAACATCAATTCGGAGTCTGGCCGGACGACCTGTCGACCCTTAACAGTACCTCCCTCGTCAGTGATGTAATGCAAGATTCACACATATTCGATATTTTTAAAAATCAAAATTTTCTGATTGGATATCGAACGTCGCACATCGAATATCGGACGCTGTGTGAATCCTGCGTAAAGAAAAGGGGAGATATGAGGTCTGTTTGTACTAACTGCACTCTTGCACAAGTTTAGGACTGCGTTCAGAAACAACACTCGGGAGCACCTGATCTCCCAATTGCCGTTCAAAAACCAATCGAGAGCACTATAGTATTACCATAGAAGCACGGTTCTTGGTGCCCCGGGTCGCTCGAGCTGGGATACTTTGCTATAGTTTACTCACTTATTCTGTACTATCTATAGCATTTCAGTACAGTATACGTGACGTAAACTATAACAAAGTACCCTAGCTCGTGCGACCCGCGGGATACCGAAAACTAAAGTCACTAGATTACAAAGTAACGCAATTAGGGGGAAAAAAGCTGCCATTTTGACTCCACGCAACGCGGCCGTTTCAATTGTATATAATTGTATATATAATCCAATTTTTTGTACGAAAGAAAATAAAATTGTAAATTATATAAAAATAATTTTTATTTATGTTTTTTTTCCATTTGCTATGGCCATTTTCATCGCAACACTTCTACTGCTATGACCAGCTGCTTTTTTTACATCACTGCTTACTTTTTTTAATGAAAAATGAATTCTTGTTATTACAAAATTTTTTATAAATTTATAACCAATATTATGACACGAAGGAATAAAGTTTATCGAATATTCTTATAAAAACATTGTTATAAAATCATTGACTTTTAATACATTAAAAAGTAAGTTAATCTCATTTTTCCGAAATAATAGTTCGCACTTATATATTAAATTATATATCTCCACGCTTGGAAATATTAAAATATTTTCTTTATATTCTCTTAACTTTATATAAAAACTTAGATTATTGTAGCTAGAATTGTTGTTAGAATCATTCGTAGTCACAAGAACATTAAAACAATTATTGCAATGTGTAAAATTTTTCTGTATTTTAAATAATAATGCACCTATTAAATAATATAATGCAGCTTGAACTGTATTATTTAAATCAGTTTCCTTTTCATTTCCAAGCAATGATTGATATATATTTATATCCCATAAATTTTCATTGCTCTGCAGACATCTCTCTTTTGCAGAGAAATTTACCTGGCTTAAATTTTAAGCCTTGTATGCGACTTTGTAGAGTGCGGATACTTGGATACGGTAAATGCTGTCGGAGCACCTCTTCGTAGCCTTTTTGACCGCAAGCTGCATAAAGTTTCAATGCTTTTGTAATTGTATCTGCAGACCATGATGTTCCTCTTTGTGTTTTACGTGTGATAAAGTCCTTTTGATCTTCGTTAAATATTTCATTAAATCTTGCATTTTCTTTTTGCAATTTTCTTTTTAAGATATTACGTTCCACCACAGTCTTATTTAAAGATTTCTTTAATTTTTTTATTTGTTCTTCAAAATTTTTTATTATTTCATCAAGATTTTTATTTGATGCAGTATCGCTCATTACCACCACATCGGTTGCTTCAAAATGATTTGATTTATTGGTACCACAATCTGTGGATATAATTTCCAACTCAGTAATAGTATTGTCACCATTATTGATATTACTGTAGGAATTGTCATTCAAATTATTTGCATTGTCCTCGTATTTATCTACAATTATTTCAAATAAATAATATTACAGTAATACATATGTTCATAAGAAAATGATTTAGATTATTATACCTAAATTGTATCTTTCTTATATATCTAAGTATCATTGAATTATGTAAAACTTACGAGAATTATAACATTCTTACCATTATTAGTACTCATATTGTTTGTTACTTCATTGGAATTATTTTCTAAATGTAATAAATTAGGTTTTCCATATGGGCGGAGCAATTTTCTCTTATCTGCTCGATTGTTCTCAAATTGATTTTCATCAAAATGCATCTGTAAAATTAATATAATAATTAGTATTGTAAGACAAAATGTTTTGTACGTTTGTAATTCATTAATTACCTCACAAATTTCAGCCCTTTCTGGCAAAGTATCTCTTCCAATTAATTGAAGCCATTCATGCCTTCTTTCTTTATTTTTCGGAACACGAAATAACCGAAATCTTCTTTCGCTGCGATTATTGCAGTCTTTAACACAACAACCTGGCATCTTGATACCTCTTATTTCTCTTCATGTGCGAAGAAGTTTATAACAGGTTATAAAGACTGCACTTAAAGTAGAGATGATTTACACAATGTATACACTATTTACACTTTTCGACACCATCTTGACTCCCATGTATCTTATGAATTGCGTTACTTTGTAATCTAGTGACTTTACCGAAAACCGTGCTTCTATACTCGTCTATATTCTTTGGTATTTTAGGTCAGTATTCACAGTTGGTTCTTATATTTAAGATCGTCTTAAGCCCTTGTTCAACCAATCAAATGGCCGCATATCATCTCTTGATTAGTTGAACGAGGTTTTAAGACGATCTTAAATATAAGAACGGACTATGAATACCGCCCCTCTATCGAATGACTTTCCCACCCTGCTCTTTCATAGGCCGGTATTTTTCTTCTTTTTCTGTATGGCTGCTAAGGCATCTGGGTATTCGCCTATATGCCACAATGTGCTTTAGGCTGGTATTTATAGTCCGATCATAGTATAAGTAAGAACAGTAGTTACACTCCCTGATGGGTAAATAATGTACTCGCGCATGTACGAATCGCACAATTCATAACATGGCGGCGATAGCAGTCTGGTAGTGTTGCAGCGTATAATGTAAATAATTTGTAATATTTTTGCGTTTTGTTTCCGCTATCAAATTAATATAAATTTATATTATCTATTTTATTAGTGATTTCGTAGTATTTTGTATTAGTACAGATAAAATGCTATATACATATAAAATGTCGAGTTTCTTACAAAGTAACCTCAAAATAAAATTTATATATATATATATATATTGCAACGTCTTTTCCTGTGCCGAAACGCCAAGTTCGGTCAGGGGAGCGTTCAATTTAAATATTCTACTAATCTGAATCTAAATACGGTGAAATTCGGTAAGGAAAGAATTACTTATTCGTACTTAGGTACATTCGGTACTCACGGTACAGTTGGGCGCCAGGCGCATGTGAACGCGCCACGATACTACTGTGAATGGTACTTAAAGTCACTTCTTCAAATTTCATACAGAGTCGCGGGTCTATAGGAGTGATGGGTCTATAGGAGTGATGGGTCTAGGGTTGAGAGAGAGATATAGAGAGACATACACGTGGTGTTATAATTTGACAGAGATATATATATTTGACACTTAGGATTTACAATTTGACATCTGATAAATACAATTGGATAATATCATTAGGTAACAACAGTAATATATAAACTAGCGGTAGGGAACAAAAATATAATATCATAAGATCGGCGGATATCGGTATTTCGGAATTGATCTACAAAATTATTATTAATTATACAATGTGAAACATCTTAGATAATTTCGCGACAATGATATACCAACGGGATAAACAAAGACAAAATCGGTAAACGTTATGATGGTCCAACTTATTTTTGCGGACACGCGGTATAGACAGACGTCACAATAAGGGTGCATTCGTTTATGCAGTGATTAGCGCATCCACTGCGCATCCACTGCGTCTATTATCTGCGAGTCACGTGACATCATTTACCGAACGATCACCTGCGTGAATTGACTGCTCAGATTGTAATTGGAGTGCGTAAGTAAAGAAATTTTAAATAAATATGAATTAACTTAGAAATAAATATTTTTATCGGCTCTCAATATAAACAATATAAATATGATGGTTTCTAAATCGGCCTAAGACCCATAGCACGAAAAATTACAAAAATTAATTATTCGGAACTGTATCTCTTGGTACGAGATTACTAAAGTTCCATATATTAATTAATCTCGAACTTACATATGGAGAAATAAGCGCGAAAAATATAGGTCCGAAAAGTCGCTGAAGCGGGAATCAAACCCGCGTCTTTCACTTTCCGGCGACTGCTCTTACCACTAATAGCTATTTAGACTTTTCGGACCTATATTTTTCGCGCCTATTTCTCCATATGTAAGTTCGAGGTTAATTAATATGAAACTTAGTAATCTCGTACCAAGATATACAGTTCTGAATAATTAATTTTCGTAATTTTTCGTGCTATATGGCTTTTAGGCCGATTTAGAAACTATCATATTTATATTGTTTATATTGAGAGCCGATAAAAAATATTTATTTCTGAGTTTATTCACGCCTGGCCTAATCATGGCGTTATTTACTAACATCTACTAAAAAGCAAATGAAAAATATAGGATCGAAAGAGTCTGAATAGCTTAGTGGTAAGAGCAGTCGCCCGGAAAGTGAAAGACGCGGGTTCGATTCCCGCTTCAGCGACTTTTCGGACCTATATTTTTCGCGCCTATTTCTCCATATGTAAGTTCAAGGTTAATTAATATATGGAACTTTAGTAATCTCGTACCAAGAGATACAGTTCCGAATAATTAATTTTCGTAATTTTTCGTGCTATGGCTCTTAGGCCGATTTAGAAACCATCATATTTATATTAAATATGAATTATTATTTGAATAAATATAATAAAATTTTTAAATAGGTTGAAGGTTCTGACATATGACGTGTGCACATAACATTTTCAGACAGTGATGACGGTAGGATTGAAATGTTGCTGAATGTAGACTTCTCAGATTTTTCCAAACTTACTGGGGACGAAGTAGCTTGATAGCTAGGAATGACTGTAACAGAATTGCATCTTTATACAAAGCACATTTTTTTTAAACAGATTACTTTAAATTTATATTCTTGATAAAAGTGCATCTTTAAGTTAATTGGATCGTAAATATAAATTAACAGACTTCATAATTTTATTGTATTACTTACCTTGCATTACTTTTAGTTTTGTAGGATCTATTTGGAGGAGTTATTCTCCACCTTCTTTGTTCTGAACTTTTATAACATAACTCATAATTGAAATAATTTTCAGGCAACGTTTCCAAGTTCAATTGGCTTAACAATGGAGAAGACTACATTCGTTTACGCAGTAGTCCGCAGTACTGCGAGCAAAGCATCCTAAGCAGGACCTCCGAGATGGCTGCGCAGATAGGCAGCAGCTCTGCTTAAACGAACAACAAACTGCGCTGCAGTCGGTTGCGCAGGTGGAGTAAACGAACGACATTTGCGGCATTCTGCGGCAGTCACTGCATAAACGAATGCACCCTAAGATACTCCGAGACACGGTGCGGTATGCAAAAAAAAAGATAACAAATAGGTGACGGTAATTTCGTGACTCTTTCGCACGACTCTCTCGCCGAGTCGAAAAAAATGAAATATTTAACAAACTCGCGGAGAACGGCTACACGCAAATTCGGAAATCTAATAATCGAGCCTATAAGAAACGTGACTCTGAATATCTCGGTAACCCGAATTTATGATAATTACTTCGAGACGATGGACTGTCGGCGGCACTTTTCGGAGAGGGCTCGGCTCGCGAAACGCAAATCGGCTGGCCCCGCGATACGATACTCTAAAAAGAAAAGAGAGAGACCGCTCTCTCACACACAAAACGATACGAAAAATGAGAGAGTGCGGTACTCACGGTAATTACGATATACGATCAATACCTACTACGGTACCAACCAACACGGATCTACGACTACTCGAGAGGCGGCTTACAGTTTCTGGCGGTGAAGTCTGGTCCTCGGGAGTAGTATACTAGGGGAGTTCTAACCCAGTGGCAATGAGGGGGGGTGAGGGCAGGGGAATCGGGGGCGAGGGGGGTGACGTCACGCGCGGGGGGGGGGGTCTTATCAGTAGATAAGCTTATCTTTTAACGTATAAGACGGGCAACAAGAGCCAAATCGCGGATGACAATGCGTTATCCTAACGAAACTAAATAATTTTCCGTTAGAATTAAATACCGGTGCACAGGCACCAATTTTACTTGGACACGGCCAAGATTTTAAATATGAATAATCTCATATTTGAGATTTTAATTTCAATACCCCTTTTTTTTATATATAACAGAGAAAAGTATAGAATCGAAAAGATCTGAATAGCTCAGCTGGAAGAGCAGTCGTCCGGCAAGCGAAAGGTCTCGGGTTCGATTCCCGATTCAGCGATTTTCGGATCTATATTTTTCTCTTGCATTCATTTATTTATTTTCCGTAGGGGGGTTAAAAAGGGGTATTGAAATTAAATCTCAATATGAGATTATTTCATATTTAAAATCTTGGCCGTGTCCAAGTAAAATTTGGTGCCTTGTGCACCGGTATTTAATTCTAACGGAAAAATTATTTAGTTTCGTTAGGATAACGCATTGTCTCCGCGATTTGGCTCTTGTTACCCGTCTTATACGTTAAATTTATATTTATATTACAGAGCCTTGTTAAAACTCTTATAAGCTTATCTTTTGTTTATAAACATATCAGATTACCTGATAAGGGGATCATATTACCTGATAAGGGGATCATATTACCTGATAAGGGGATCATGTTAACCTGATATGTTTTTAAACAAGATAAGATAAGCGGGGATCCATAAGTAAGATAAGCTGATATGTTTATAAACAAGATA